TCCGGTCTTAAAGTGGCCTAATTTGCCGTCGTGTCAGACCGTGTTCGCGTGCGAGTCACCGGCGTGGCACCTCAGCCGCCGTCGGTGCCTCGGGGCCATACGCGTGCGTACGGTGGGCGGGGAGGCGTAGGTCCGGCCCGGCCACTCCACCGCCCGCCGCCGGGCGCTCGGCACACGCTCCTCTCCGCCGATGGGCACCACCTGCTCCACTGCCCGGCGGCGGACGGGACAGCCAATCGGCGCGGACGCCGCGGGGCATTCTACACCTCCGCAGGACCGGCAGGTGCGCTTCGCAGTCTCCCGGCGAGCAAAAAGCCAGGTCAAGGCCCGACGGCGCCGCGGCCAGCCAGGCGGCACCGCGCCGGGCCGCGACCTGCGCGCTTTTTGTCCGCTCCGTGTCCGCTTGCATGGTCGGGCGCCCCCGCAGACGGGGCGTAATGGGTCCAGATTGCCGGGTAGGCCGCGGAAGACATCGGCGCAAGACCGCCGCTCGGTGGGCACGATCCAGCCTCCGGGCTGGGGATCAGAGGCGCGACTGAGGGATCCAGCAGGTGCCGAGGATTACCTGCCGACAAGTGCGCCACGCGATCGTGGCGATAGGCAATTGGAGCGGCGCTTTGTTTTCTCGTCGCTCCCGATATTCAAATGTCCGCATCATTTACGGGGCGGGCTCACGCCCGGCGAATAACATGTTTGTCGACCCGATCTGAGGCTTTCTGTGTGCACGGTGAAGCTGTGCAGGGGCTGCGCCTGGGGCGTCGGGCCGCGGCGCCGCTCATTACGGGCTCGGTGACCCCTGACACCGCTCGGAGAGCCGGGGCGAGGCGGCGGCCGCGGCGGCAGCGCCGGCGGCTCGCCCGGCGGCCAAACGGCGGCCGAGCGAGGCGGCGCGCGCGCCGGTCAGGCGACAACAGCCGGCGGCGGGCCGCGCCGTCCCGCCGCCCACCTGCGCATCATTACCCGCCGCGTAATGGCCCGGCGGCTGGACAGGTGAGCGCGGAGGCGGCCGGCGCGCGCCGCCCCTCCGCTCGTAACCGCCGGCTTCGCCGCGACGCGCTCAAATTGCGATAAGCAGGGTGCCCGCGACGCGTAACGGGACGACGTCCGCCTAATTTGGCGGTGGCGGATAAATGAGCTTTGACGGCGGGTCGTTGGCGCGATGCGGTGAGCGGGCGCCGGCAGCCCAGCTGCCTCGCCCCTGGTGACCGTCGAGCGCTGAGGTCAGCGGCGGTCATCCCCGCAGCTGCCCCACCCGGCGGCTGGCACCACACGCGTCGCACCTTCGGCGCGCTGGCTGCGGCTCGGTCCTGACCGCCGGCCGTCTCCGTTGCTCCCCCAGCCCTCGTCGATTTATCCCAGCAGCGGACCGTGCGGCCGCTCTCAGCTGGCGCATGGCGTCAGGTCCTGTTCAGCGGACGCGGCCGGGGTCCGTCGAGCTCGTCACCAGAGGGCCGGTCCGGTGCGGTCAGCGGCCGGCGTGTCTCGGCGCGGGGTTCCGCCTCCCCGCCCCGTCCGGCCGGCCTCCGTGGGCGCGCCGCGCCGCGCCGCGGCCGGCGCCCGGTGCCCGGTGTCCGGCGGCCGACCCGGCCTGGCCCGGCCGCCGTCCGCTGCAGCCGGCCGTCCGTTATGTGCCGCGACGCCGACCTACAAACGGCACGGCGCCGCCGGACACCCGGGCAGCGGGTCCACCGATCGGCGCCGGCGCCGCCACCCGACCCGCTGCCGGATGACGGTAACCCCCGCCGCCAGCCACGCACGTGACCGTGCACCCCGCCGCCGGCCACGTCACGTGACCGTGCACCCCGCCGCCGGCTATGTCCGCGCACCTCTGCCGGCGGACACGTGGTCTCACGCTGAAGGGGCCGGGTAATCGCGTTTAACACGCTCGGAGAGAGCTGTCTATCTCGGCGTCATCTGATCGCGTAATCGGCGGCCGGCCGGCCTTCAAAGATGGGATCAGCCGTGCGTCTGGCAGGGTCGGTGGCAGGACAGGTGGGAGTGCACCACTGGAACCAGCCTCCTTTGTCTGCGGATCACTCGCCCTCTCTTCATCTCTCTCCCTCTCTCCCACCCTCCCTCCCTCCCTCCCTCCCTCCCTCCCTCCCTACCTCCCTCCCTCCCTCCCTCCCTCTCTCTTTTTATTTCTCTTATTTCTCTCTTTTCTAGCGCCCTATTTTTTCTGGATACAATGGCTGTCTACTTCATTTGTATCGGTTCAAATATTCTTAATTATCTTGCTACTGGTAATCGCTACTTTCTCAAAACGTGAGAAATCGACCTCAGCGTGTCGAACGGCGTTGTGAAAACTGACCCTGAATACGAATACATTAGCGATACAGCTTCGGAAAAAAATGCTGACTTGTTTTACTGACCACGCAACTCACAATGTGCCTTCACAGCAATCCCTGAATTTGTCTTCCGGCTTTCGCACGGCAGCACAGATATTACCGCGTCTTTAGCAGTACTTAGCAATCAGGTAAAACGTGTACAAATTCCATACCAGCACGTTTTGCCGTGCAGTGCCAGCTATTTGTGCTGGTGATCTCCCTGTGCGGAAGCGTCGACGGGAGCGGAGCAGCGACCTGTGCTCGGCTCACTGGTGACAGATGATCCTCCCTGCCCTCCCTCTCCCCATTAGTCGCCGCTCAAAGAAACCGCCCAGGGGGTGTCTCGGCCCAGAGCGCGCGCGTTGCGCCGGAAGCGGCTGCGAAACGACGCAGCGTGCGACCGTCCCTCGCTTCGGGAGCGCTGGAAGTGGCCTGAGCAGCCCTGGATCCCGGCAGTTCCCGGAGGATGGCAGCTGGGGTGGCTGGGCACGGGTCAGCTGGTGGGGCTGCCGCTTGCCGTCTCTAGGCCCTGCGTGTCTGCTGCGGTTGTGAATCGTTTCTGTCTGTAGATGGATTAACAGGCCCTGTCCCTTCCGCCACGCGCACCGCCCTCACGCTGTGGCTCTATGGGAGGGCGGAAATGGTCGGCTCGTGTGACGTGGATTTGGGCTGCGTCCCTTCTCTCTCTCCACAGTATTTCCCGGGCGTTGGCTGTGCTGTTCCGGAAGGTCACCGTTTGTGCCACGCTCGTGACCCTCTCGGATATCCTGGCTTTGTATCCGGAGAGGCTTTGTGCGTACGAGCGGGCCGTGCCGGAACGTTCCAGAAGGCTGACCTCGGCGCCGAGCTATAGGAGATCATCCAGTTAGCAGTAACACGGCTCAGACATCTGGCTGCCGAACTGCACACCACGTTATGTGGCGCAATCATCACAAACACCACTTGTCGGTATCACAGGGGAGCTAACCAACCGAAGCCGCTCCAAACGTTTGACTTGAAATAGCTTCAATGCAATGATGATAAAGTTACAATAATTACAGAGGGGAGTGGTATTTGAGCTCTGAGAAGAACGTCCCGATGTCCAAAAGGTGACGTCGGGTGCGACGCTGGCTGTGCGCAGACCAGGTGTCACTAGACCCGCTTCAGGTCGAATAGCTCAGGCAAGACCGTACGCATGACGAACTGTCTGGTGCTACGAGATAACGAGCTGAAGGATGTCACCGGGTAGAGGTGTCGTAGGCCCGGACAGTGGGGGTGGAACAGTCGTGCAGGTTGGTCACTGAGCCATCACGGCGGTGCAAAGCCAACAGTACTTGTTGACTTTGTGCCGCCGTGATAGCTCAATGTGCGGGTCACCAAGGTAATTGGAAAGATCGGAGAAGGATTGGTAGAGGCTCCCTGGAGCAACACAATTGCGGAGCCGGGCATATCCTGCTGTAGCACTTCTGTTTTAAAATGAAGCGCTTCCGTGCACGACCAGACAACGTCAAACCTGCTTGGACATGCATAAACACGAATCACGCGCACGTCCTCCTTAGCGACGAAACGTGCGGTCAATGGTCCGTCGAAAACACGACTCTGGACCGGACGCCGCCGCTGTCAAAACACCAGATTAAGACCCTGGTGCCAAACGCGCGTTTACGCGCACAACACGCCGCCTTCCAGCTGCCCCTTTGAACCCAACGCTCTGGAATTTCGCCACCGCTGAAAACAGCGGCTTCTCGATCCGTCGGCGGTGCTGCGGGGTCGCTCGGTGGCCAGGTGGTGACCGCCGTGGCACGCCGCGGCGGCGCCAGGACCGGCACGCGCGGCTGGCTCACAGCCGGCCGTCAAAGGCGGCGCGCGCACCCCACGCGTCGGTGGGGGTCTAATGCGCGCGCTGCCGGCCCTGATGGACTGTGTGGAGCGCGGCGAACGAGAGAGAACAAGCGCCGACCGCGACGGCCTTGGACAAGCCGGCTATTCAGTAGCTGACCAAAATATCCACCGGAGTATTCAGCGTCTGACAAAAGCTCGACCCAAAGGGGTACAAACAGGGAAGATTGAGCGATGAGCGCGCCGCCGGCTGGGGCCAGCTGTCGTCGACCCCGCCCCCCCCCCCCCCCCCCCCCACCCGGCTGGCCCCCGGCCGGTCGGAAGTGGTTCAGCTCGTGCGTGACGACGCTAGGCCGACGCACGGCGGGGGAAGGGGCATGCTGGGGTGGTGCCGATGGGGTGGGACGCTGCTGTTGGTGACGCTGCGAATGGTGACGCTGAGGGTGGTGACGCTGGACTGGTGACTGAGGACTGGTAACGCTGGACTGGTGGTGCTGAGGGTGGCGACGCTGGACTGGTGGCGCTGAGGGCTGGTAACGCTGGACTGGTGGTGCTGAGGGTGGTGACGCTGGACTGGTGGCGCTGAGGGCTGGTGATGGCAGCGAGTGGTCAGCGGGGTCATCTCGGCGCCGCTCAGCCGGTCGCCCCTCCCACGCACGGCGGCAAGGACGGTCATCCGGCCCCGGCTGGACGCGCGCCAGCTGCAGCGGTCGGTCGCAAGGTCGGGTCGCCGACGGCCGTGACGTCAGCGCCCGGTGGCCAATCGGCGCGGCCGGCGACAGGCCGGTTCGTGTCGGGCCGTTTTTGCTGGGTCGCGCGCCGGCCGGCAGCTGCTCGCCGCCGCGCAGTGCGCTGGCGGACGCGGCGGGGGGAGGGCGTGTTCGCGGTTGGTCCGGTGTTTGTCAGATCGTGCGTGGGCAGTCGAGTATCTGGTGGGTTTGTGCTGTCGGGAGCAGCATGGGCAGATCCACAGCGCAGTGGGTGAGGGCGCAGGGGCTCGCGCAGCGTGCCTCCCCTCATAAAGACGACTGGCAGCCACCCAGCTACACAGAGGTGAGTTGTCGTGCCGGCAGGTGCAGTCGGGTGTGCATAGACAGCCCCCAACTCCAACTGATGTGCTTACGCAGCGCAACTGTTTTGCGGATCTTTCGTGCAACGTGTACCGCTTCGCATGTCTTGCAGACGTAGGGCGCGTGGGGCGCTTAAGTGCATGACGCTCCATTCTTGGAAAGCCTGAAAGTTGCGTGTTGAAGGCAAGGTCATGCTTAGGACGTGGCTCAGGCGGTGGTTCAGCATACCCGTGGTGTCCGGTATGAATGAGCTCATCTTTTTGCCGCAGACTGTGTGGCTCATGTGCTGACCAGGCTAACCGCACTGGAGAGACTGAATGGACCCGTTGGAACATTGCCGAGGTGCCGTGTTCTGAGATGCCGTAGGAACTTCATATGTGACCCAGTCCAATGGGTTCCACGGTGTCGTTCTGCAGCCAGTCATATTTTTGTCAAGCTCCTGAGCTGGTTAAAAATGTGAATGACGGGACAAACTCGACACATTTTAACGACCACTTTTGTTCCCTTAAGCTTCTCCCGGATTGGCAGCTTATGTGTGCAGCTTGTTTAGCCGTTCATCGGAATTAGGCCAGCGGTAAGAAGGCATTAATGATTCTAGAAACAACCGTGCCAGTGGTAGAATCCGACGACAGGGGCCAGCGTGGTTTGCGGATATGTTGATCGGGCCGGCTCTCGCCTGCAACCACGATCAATGTGGCCTGTACGTTTCAAGCAGAGTAAAAAGTAACATAAAATACATAGTAAAAAAAACAAAAAGTAACAAAAGTAACAACGGAGAAAAGAATCAGTGGCTTTAGGTATGACCGAAGAGGAGAATTGGTGGCTTTAGGTATGACCAAAGAGAGATCAGTGGCTTTAGGTATGACAGCCATTCGAGCGGCAGGCCTGTTCGCTCACGTGACTTGTGTGTACACATCGGTGGATGCCCACCAGAACAGTTCGAAGCGTCGTTCCACTAACTTTCGATGGAGAATTTTGCCACCCAGTGCCTCGCGTGCACTGCGGCGGTCATGAACCGCTCATCGATGTCCCGCCATTGAATAATTCTCCCGGTCGGATGAGACGCTGTCAGGTCACGCTTTAACCAGCTGCATTGGATTAAAGTGCATGCGGATGGCAACCTTGCACGATCAGGGTAAACACTGCGCAGTTCACAAAGGGCGTAAAGCTGACCGATGTCGGAGTTTTAGTTGCAGCGGCAAGCTGAGTGCAGGAAGTCGAAGTCAGCTATGCTTGCCGAGTGGTTTTACAGCTACAGTGTGAGAGGCTTTCCAGCGCGATCTTCGCGGAGGCACCATGCAGCTACATTTGCATGTCCTTGGCCTCCAGCCAAGTCGAAATGTCATCTCACTCCACATCACAAACATTTCGACTGGTCACCGGCGCATTGAGCGCCACTGGCAGGCCCGATCACGTGGTCCGTGCGTCCGGAGCCGGCTGGGTCACGTGTGTCCGGAGCCGGTCGGGTCACGTGGTCCTGGCGTCCGGAGTCGGCCCTGTCACGTGGTCGGCGGCACGGACGTGACCGCGGCATAGCTGAGCGTGTGTCGATGGCTGGGAGTGGACAGGCGCTTCTGCCCCGGGGGGGGGGGGGGGGGCGGATCGCTCGGAGGTCCGGCTCCGCGGTCCAGGCTCGCGGTCCTGTGGTCCCGACTGCATGCCGGTGAGTCCCTTGAGGGGTGCAGCTTGAGTGCGGGCGGATGGTGCTGTGGTCTGAATAATGACCTGCGCGGCTGCACGCGTTAACCGAATGCAAAACAAACCGCTTTGGATGATGCATAGGTTTCTATCGGGATCAGATCCAGTACAACGCCCCGTAATGTCCGGTATGCTAAGCTCGTCATTCAGACGTAAATGGAAGCTATTCGCTGAGGGTTTGGCTGTTCAGCTCAGACAGGTCAAGTTATGTGATGCGCAGTTGTGAATGTCTGTAAACGAGCCATTTGCTGCCTTAAATCTTCGTCTGAGGCATTTGTATTGAGCTATTTGACTTGACGAAAACCTTGGACCAGAAGATGGAAAGATGAGGGTGATTATCCTCTATTTGGCCTCCCTGAAATGGGTCCTTTGAATTGTCTGGAATTTCCATCTCAAATTTCCTCCAAGGTTTTTGACGCCGAACAATGACTGCGCATGACGAAGGTCATTCGAAAACGAAGGTAATTTAACGACGTGGTGTTACTGGCATGCTCAGCGTAGCAGTTTCGATATGCGTGTGTCCTCGCACCGCAGTCTCCGGTCGGCCCCTGCTGTCGCGTACCGCGCGACACGGGCAGAGGAGGGCGGGGGAGGGGCGGTATGCCCGGCCGACAGTGGCTCGCACTGACGTCATGGCGCCGGGCCGGGCCGGTTCCCAGTCGGCCGGCGCTGACCGGCAGCTCAGCTGATCGCAGCGCACACCGCCCATGGCGCGGACGGGCCAGGCATTTCCGGGCAGCGTCGCCAGCCCGGCGAGCTGGCGCCATCTCCACGACGGCAGCCGCCGGTGGGGCACGACTGGGAAGGCACCGGGACTTGACTTGTGTGGTGGTGACTGTCATGGAGTTTCACATTTAACCTCTACCAATCTATCCAACCAACGAATTTAAATACAACCAATGACCCGCGGTCTCCGCAAGTTCCAAAGCCAGGCGTGTATTATCGGTCACAGTCTAACTATTGTTCAGCACGAACACGAATTTAACAAGCTGTAAAATGCGGCACGCTAACAAACACTTGTATCGGCAATGGCCAGGTTTCATTCCGTTCTATTTCATAGCATGTGCTAACCAATAAATGCATCTGGCTTGACTCCATTCCTTATCGTTTGCAGCGTGTACGACCACGTCCAGTCCAACCTGTGGAAAATCAATGTACTCTCCAATTCACGAACAGCTCTTGTACGCAGCGGGTAGTGGGGCAAAAAACACCAACACAGGGACTAACCGTCCCGGAAAATTATATAGTGCCGCCGAACACATGTGGCGTTCTCCCCAACCCATCCCCGACCCCCATCGGCGAGCTGCAGGGGGGCGGGGAAGGGCGAAGCAGACACGACACGTGCGTAGCATCTGCGCCCTCTGCCAGGGGACAGAGGGTAGCAGATAACCATCGGACGGCGCACGGCAGCTGGGACCAGCGGAGCCCGACTGACCCGGGCCGACGATGGGATACGCGGGGAGGGGGGGGGGGGGGGGGGCGCCGGCGCGGCGCCACCACCGCCACCACCGCCGCCGCCCCGCGTCACTGTCAGACTGACCACAAAAAGACGGCCGACCACCGCCGAGGTGACTGCCACACACGTCCCGCTGCCGCGGCGCCGGCCTCCTAATGAGTGGATCTTTGTTACGAGCGTCACCAACTCACTCGTCACGGAGGCGCGCCGACGCCGGGCGGGAGCGTGGGGAGGAGACGCGCCGTCGGTACCGAGCCGGGCGGGCGAGGGCGTGGGGAGGAGACGTGCCGTCGGCGCTGCGCCGGACGGGCGGGAGCGTGGGGAGGAGACGTGCCGTCGGTGCTGCGCCGGACGGGCGGCGGGGCGCGGTCAAAAGCCGAGATGCGCCGGCCCAGGGCCGGCCGGCGCCGGCGGCCGCCGCCGGGCAGGGCCCGGCTGCCGTCTGAGCCGGCCCGCCCCTCGTGGATCACGTCGAAATGCGGGCCGGTGGCGGGCGCGAGCGGCGGTGGACCGACCGGCGCGAGCCCGCGGCGATTGCGCGGCGATCGGCGGGCGGGGCCAGCGCAGGGGTCAGCGCAGTGCCCGGGACGGCCAACGGGGCGGGTCTGACACGCGGGGGCGTGCTGATCGGGACCGCGCTGGCTGACAGGTGGGGAGGGCTCTGAGACGCACCGGCCGCCGCCTACCCCATGTCAGGATGAGTGTCAAGACGGTGCCTGATTGCGGTGATAACCGTGATCTGAATTTGACAAGCGTTATGTGGTGACAGAACTAGCGTTCTGTGTTAACAACGGCTCTGTGATGGGAAAATACGTCTGAGCTGCGGCGGCAGCCGTGACAAAGACGTCCACCGTCCAGATGTCTGCAGAAAGCCGCTTAAAGGGTACCATCGCCGCCGCTCTGTGAAGTTTTTGTCTGGGTAAACATGTATCAGACGTTTGATCGCCGCATGCCGCCACTGCCGCCAAAGTTATAAATGGTAGTTGTCATTTGAAATAAATGGCATGCACTCATCATTTAGGTCGGAGTTATACAGCGTGCCCCGCAGATGTCAGTGACTTCGCCTCTGCAAGTTGGGAGAGCAGCCACCGAGAGCCAAGCAAGAGTGCACATGCCCCTCCGAAGTGGACCAGAGCAGCCCCTCTCCCTCTCCCTGCCCCGTGCTGACCCGCCCTCGCCGCCGGCAGATCTACCCGGACCCGGATGGCGAGAAGTCGATCATGAGCTCGGTGGTCTACTGCATCCACCACAAAGAGGGCTGCAAGTGGACCGACGAGCTGCGCAAGCTCAAGGTGAGCGGTGCGGCGCCGCGCCCACAGCCGCCCTTTGTCCGGCTCCACACTCGGCCTTTGTTTTCGGGCGTGCAGGTAAAGCGCACGTCCCGGTGTGTGCGGCGTGATGGTGCACGTCCGCCTACGCCCGTGCACGCCCGACTCACCGCCGGGCCGACGTCGGTGCGTGCCTGTGTGACGCGCTGTCGCGGCGCGCGGCGACGACGGCGCCGGTCGCGGTCGGCAGCGCCGCTCCCAGCCGAGCCGCAGCCGGCGCGCTGGCGGCCGACAGGCGCCCGCCGGTTCCCACCGTTTGTCGGCGCGCAGACGCGGGTAATTGCCGCCCCACGCCGCTGCCTGCAGCCCCGGCCGGTCGGGGTCTTTGTTACGAGACAGCTCGACCGTGCGCGCTGGCAGCTCATGGCAAATGTGGAGTGCTTTGTACTTCGCAGCACCTATTTTGGAACTGTTGGCAAAGTCGCACGTGCCTCTTCTAATTATTAAGTGGTGCGATTGCTCTTTAGTAAATCCTCGCTGACATCGGTGCAAGGGTGTTTTACATGCGGCGCAGATCTCTAAGCCTTCTTCACGGTCACAAAATGACGGGCACGTTCGTCGCGCCCATAAGCCTCAGCAAACGACGGAATTTTCAATGAGGTGTGAGTGAGAACGTAAACACGCGTCGTTGTCTAAAGAAAAGTCAATGTCGATAAACCCGGCTACTGTTACGCCCTATTGAATTCGACACGGTCATGATCTGTAGCATCAGTTTTGGATAAGGTAGCGACGTAGCTCGGTAGATCTGCTCGCGGAATCATTTCAGTTCAATGCTCGAAATGACATTCCAAACGACGAGAGGAGTCAGATATTGCGTGAGTCAATGCAAGTGTCGAAACGTGCGCCTTGTGAGGGCACTCTACGACAGCGCGCCTCTGCAGGTTGTCCTTCGCACCGCCTTGGCCCACTTCCCTGCGTGCCAGCGCGACGTAGAATGACATCTGCGGCTTCATCAGCGGAAACGCTTATCCGCGATAGCGTCTTAATCGTTGCAACGGCCACGGAGCCTGGCGGCGTCCTTGGCGGGGTGGCGCCGCGCGGGGTCGCGACCCGTGACCTCCAGACGCTTCCCACGCGGCTCGGCCGCACGGGCAGACGAGAGACGGCGGCCCAGTGCCGACTGTGGTCCGACGCTGCCCGGTCGGAGCGGCCGGACGGGTAGCGCAGAGGCGGCGGTCGAGTGCTTAGTGTGATCCGACGCTGGTCGGAGCCACCGAGCTGCCGTCAGCTGCCGATCAGTTGCGAACGTGCCGTGCCAGCGTCCTGTGCTGATCGAGCCGACGCAGCGAGAAGGGGCACGCCTCCGAGCCACGGGTGGGGCGGGGTGTCTCGGTGACCCGGCCGCCGCGCGCCGTCCATCATCGCAGGCGGCGCCAAAAACACGCGCGCACCGGCGATTTGGCGCGCCGCGAAAAACGGCGGGTAAAAAGCGGCCGTGTGGTGCGTGGTGACCTGCGGAGGCCCGCGGTATGCGCGCCGGGCTGGAATGCAAACGGTCGCTGGCCCGGCCCACCGGACGGGGCTCGCACCGGGGCCTGCCTCTCTCTCCTGGCTGGGCGAGCCGGGCGACGTCCGGGGACGTGTCAGGCGACTTAGAGGATTTTGTCCACCCATGGACCGCGGTCAATAGCTGTCAGAATGGTCCCGTGCCGCTGCCACATCCGGTGTCTGTGTGACGCGCTCGTTCGGAGCGCCGATGCAAAACCCACGCGAGCAAATGCGATTTACACCAGCTGATTGATGGTTGTCTCCATATTGCCCCTGTCCCGCCCATTTGCGCAAGTCGATGATGACCCGCGCGACGGATTGCAGCGTCATCCTGCGACTATTCATAACACGGCTGTAGGCGAGACGCTGGCAGCCGGCCTCAAAGCGCCGCATTGTTTCAGGCGCACCTGAACACGTGCAAGCATGACGCCATGCCGTGCACGAACGCGTGCGGCGCGATGATCCCCCACCTGATGATGGAGGACCACCTCAAGTTCACCTGCCCCCGCCGCCGCGCCCGCTGCGACCACTGCAACCTCGAGTTCAGCGGACAGACTCTGGAGGTGAGTACGGCGGCGGCGGCCCGGTCCGAACCCGGCGCACCGGTCCCGGGCGGCGCGTCGGCTGTGAAGTGCGGCAGTCTAAGCGCACGTGTGGTTCAGTGTCGCGTGAGATCAAGGGCTGGATGCGCACCGGCACCACGCGTGCAGTTCTTTCGGAGTGTTTCAGTCGCTTTTGTTGGTAAATGCTCATCTGGTCGAGTACTGGGCGAGATGGTGCCGTCCTGTTACCTTGTATAACTCATTGGATGGGTTGTTGGTTTTGCTTTGGTTCGCCATCCGTGTTTTCTTAAGCGTGCTGGTCAGATTTTGAGCTTCAGCAGCGCATGGATGCCGCCGCCGCCAATTGCAAATGTTCTGTTTGTTCCAACTCGCACATCGCTCGTTTAATGTAGCCTCTGCCACTGCGTCAGCTACCAAGCCTCCTAAAAGTTGTACCAAAAAACGACCGTTGCATAAATTTGAGCATCAAACACCGTAAATTGGGGGCTGGCAGTTTGAGTGGATGATTCGTTTTAGCTATGACAAGGATAATTATTAAAAATTGAGCTATTTGGCGCCAGACGCTAGGCTGGTGGAGTGCCAGAGAGGTGATTATACCATCGATTAGCATATGCCCTGAAGAGGAATGACTCGAGCTTCTAACAAGGGCTTAACCACTGGAGCGGAAGCCACTCTCGCTCTTCCTAAGATGCGTACCAGCCATAGGCCAACGGCCGATCCTACGGGGGGGGGGGGGGGGGGGAGGGAGAGAGGGCTCTAGCATCGAACGGGCTATCGAAGTCCTTCCGAGGGGTAAGCGGCAAATTTTCCTGCAAGCTTGATAAATACCCGTGCCAGAGCTCGAGGCCGATGCTGGGACTTGCCTCCCACTGTCTCGGGAGGAAGAGGATGGATGAGCCGTATGAGCCAGAGACCGACACTGGGACTTGTCTCCCGCCTTCTCGAGAGGGAGAGTAGAAATGAGCCGTATGACCCAGAGACCGTCACCGGGATTTGTCTCCCGCTGTCTCGAGAGGGAGAGGATGGATGAGCCGTATGAGCCAGAGGCCGACACCGAGACTTGTCTCCCGCTGTCTGGAGAGGGAGAGGATGGATGAGCCGCATGAGCCAGAGACCTACACCGGGACTCGTCTCCCGCTGTCTCGGGAGGAAGGGGAGGGATGAGCCGTATGGGCCAGAGACCGACACTGGGATTCGTCTATCGCTCTCGAGGCTTGGAGCCATGCCAGCCGGAGATAGACCGGCCCGGCTGGCGCCATGAGCCTACCTGTCGCCTGCGCTACTAGCGCGTCTTACTTCGGGTAGGTCTCACTCCCGTTCGTAGGCCGTGCATTGCCGACCGCTCTCTGCGCTGCTCCGGCCCGCTCCCAACCATCTCCCGGAGTACCGCTGACATGGCCGTGTGCGGCCGTCCAGGGCGTGCAGACGGGCGAGCGGAGCTGGACGCGCTCAGCAGAATACAGCATGTTTTGACGGACGGGTGCTGCGTACAACTACAGACGTGGTCGCTAATAGATCACTCTCGACATCAAGCGGCGCGACCATATCAAGAGGAAAATCTCGGCCCGCTGAGCAGGATGTGGAGAGTTCCCATCGCGCGCGGCGATTAGGACGCCGGCGGCGGCGATGGGCCGAGCCGTCGCCGCCACGACGGCCGGCTGCTGGACCGCTGCCGTGGGACAGGATTGAGCATGCCGCAGTGTCCGGCTCGCGCTTGCTCACCGGGCCAAGTCGCCCGTCGGAGCTCGAACATGAATCAACAGGCTTCAAACGTGGATCGCAAGTGGTCTGGACAGACAGAGCACGTGCAGTCCTGGCGGTGGGTTTTCCAGTTGGGAGGTGTTCATGCGCAAAGCAAGATCAAACACGCTGATGAGCTGTTGGGTGCGTATGAGACTAAACGTGGGTTATAAAAGGCCTCTACTTTTCATATCTTTCTAAACTTTTGCATGTCCCTGAATAACGACACACTGCTTTTTCCAAAACATTTAGACCCACTTATTACTCCATTTACTACGCTCTTCGACTCGCGCTTCATCGTCTGATGCCCAAAGCCGACGGGCGAAGAACCAGCTGCTGATTACTCACCGTCCCGGCTCCGGCACTCACGCGCAGTTAGCACCGCAGATAATCCTCGCTCGGCGCCGAGGATCTCACGTTATCACGGCCGACGGGGACCGCAGGCGGCGCCGGGACGGCACCGGCAGCCGCTACCGGTCGGCGGTACCGTGGGAGCCGCCTCCTGCGCCACGCGGCCGCGCTGGGAAGCCAGGCATTTAACAGACGGGCGCGCGGGCGTCGCGCGTGACCCAGCGGCGCGCCGGAAGCGATTTACCAGCGTCCAGCGGAAGCCGGGCGGTGAGCGACGGCGGAAACGGCGTCGCCCCCAGCGCCGGGTGCCGCCGCGCAACGAGGACAGTGCCTGCTGGCGGCCCCCGGAACCGCCGGAGGCGTCGGCGGCGGCGTCTGTCACGTTTTGTGGTCACTCCGGTGCTGCAGGCGCAGTTGTGGTTGTGGCGTTCGGGCTATTGTTGGAGAGTGGGCGTGAGCTGCCATCGTGGCTGAAAACACCACGTGTCTGATAATTATGATACAGAAATAGTAAAAGGAAAGGGGAGTAATGGACGTACAAAATGAGATATCTGCAAGGAATATCAAGGTGTGTAGAGAACTGGTGCCATCTTTGAAGTTTGATGTCGGGGAAAACAGTTGGATCCATCTGTATGCATGGAAAGAATCGATACTTTCCGACAATGTTTGTTAGAGAAAATGCATAACAAGACTAGCATCCCCTTATTCTGAGAAGACAATTGCGTGGGAAAAACAAATGACCGGCAAATATATATAGATGACAATGCAAGATGGTCATGATAATCATGATGATAGATGACAATGATGAAAATGACCATGCAAGGAGATTCCTTTGAAACTATGACTCCCGCGACGCCCGGTCAGGCCTTCGTTCAGCGGGGCCTCGGAGCAGCGTCGGTGGCGCCGGTCCACCCTCCCCGGCCGGCGTCCTGCGGCTCCGCCAACGACATCTGGCCCCCACGTGTGCCGGCTGGCCTTCGTCGCAGCCGCACCTCGGCCACCACCGGAAATGGTCCTGTCAGACATTTCATATTAAAGCTCACTCAACGACCATCCGAGCGGTGCGGTCCGCCATGATAAATGCTGCGGGAAATTGTGGCTCTCCGCCTCAACGCGCCCCTCTGCCTTTTCCGCATTGCCATCTGCCTGTCTCTCGTTCTCTTTCTCAATCTATCTCTTCCCACCCGCTAAACTTTTCTTTCTCTTCTGCCACTGCTTACTGCGGTATCTCCTTCACCCCACCTCTTTAGACATCGCCGGCTTTCCTGTCCCGCGCCACTATCTCGTCCCGCTTCACGACTACTTGATCTTCGTCCCTCCGCCTTCATTTTCCTCATCGCTCCGTCCGTTTCCTCTCCGCTCCATGGTCTGCCGCTGTATCGTTGCGCTGCGGACCGCCGCGCTGCAGCCTTTCATGAGCGCCGCAATGCACCCATTCCCCGAAGGTGGGCGTGCTCGAGCCCAGGCCAGAAGGATTGACCTGCATACGGGCGGCGGTGACGCGCGGCCCTGCAGGGTCCATCGGGATGAGCTGCGCCGCTTGTTTGTCCAGGCGCCGGCGGCTGTGCAGTTGGCCGGTTTTTGTGTCGGTGTTTAGGTGTGCCGGGCCCCGCGCCCGGTGCCGTGCCGTGGAGGGGAGTAGCGCTCGTAAATACACCGCGACCAGCGCGCCAGGCCGGCACTAATGCGCGGAGCTCAATTGTCGGCGAAACAAAAACTGATTAACCAAACCCTGCCAACGGGGATTATCTTGGTACTCTGCCCTTTTCGTAGCAGACGTTTTTGCCGTTGCCCAACAGCCGCCTCCATAGATTGTAAAGCTGCCCTGCCGAACATTGGCGTGTGAACCCATGATAGCGACCTCTTCGGGAGAGCTTAAAGTCAGCACTCTCAGCGTGTTGCATGACAAGAGGGCAATGAACGCCGCCCTTCATATGTTCAATGGTGTTCTATGAAAGTCAATGATTCGTGTAAGTTCTGGCTGCCATCACCGCGCGGAGCAGTGCAAGGTCGCCGTTCCAGCGGTGAGCTCAGTGAGCCTCCCTCCGGGCCGCCGACTCCCTCCCTGACGCGACCCTCCCTGCCTTCCGCAGAGTCACGTGGGAGGCTGCTCGCACGAGCCCGTCTACTGCGAGAATAAGTGCGGCAACAAGGTGCAGCGCGTCAAGATGGCGCACCACCGCGCGGCCGAGTGCAGTCGCCGCTTGGTGCCCTGCCGCTACTGCACCAAGGAGTTCGTGGCGGACACGCTGCAGGTACGCGTCACGCCGCGTCCGCGGTCGCCAGACGCGGCGCGCGCCCGCCACTGCCGCGCTCCACGCGCACTGGCCCGACAGTCACCAGTTGCTGGGGACGCTACCGCCTTTTCAGACTCCGCGCACGGGAACTGTTGACGACCGTTACCGCGCGAGCTACTGTGACGTCCGCTTCAGATAACCCGACATCAAACACGCCTGGCGATTGCAACATCCGGCGAGGCGCGGATAGCACGTGCGGCGTGCGCGGCCGCCCAACACTCCAACTCCCGCTCGCTGCTCTTTCCAAGTGTTTTGTGTCGTGTGATCAAGCCGCCGGCTTACGATGACGCGTTGCGTGATCGCCACGTCACCTGGCCGCGCTGCCGCGGCGCTGGCGCGTGGCCGGACCGTTGCGCTGGGGCCGGCGCGCGCGGGGCGGCGCGGCGCGGCGCGCCCCTGGCTGACCAGCAGTGCCGGTTGCAGGCGCACGTCAGCAAGTGCACCAAGTGCCCGGTCAGCTGCCCGCACGGCTGCGAGATGGCCGTCACGCGCGACACCGTGGAGAGCCACACCAAGGAGTGCCCCAACGTCACTGTCAGCTGCGCGTTCAAAGACGCCGGCTGCCGATTCAAGGTGAGGCTTAACGCCCGCATACCGCGGACGGCCAACAGGGCACGCGCGTTTGGAAGCCCACACCACACGTCATGAAAATCGGCAGCTTGGTCAGGCCGATCTTAGATCGCAGATATGTTCGCTTGCCTTCTGTGGGTAACTGCTAAAATGGTTCTGGCCATTAATTCATCTACAAATATCTGCCCGCTCGCCCTCGTTCCCGCGGGCTTCTGGTGACGTTTCATTGTCCGTGGCGCACCACCCACGCACTCGCACAACCTAATGCTAGTGCCCAGCCGTGTGGGACACCATGCTGATGAACTCATCCACTGCCACGGTCACTGCCTGGCCCCTCCATGACTCGCGACTTGGATTGCGCCACGTGGTGTGTGCGTGCGTGCGTGCGTGCGTGCGTGCGTGCGTGCGTGGTCCAGACGGCCCGCGGGCTCTGCCTGACCCGTGGTCCAGTATCCCCCGTGACTGTGCCTGACTTGCGCCGTCGCCGCTCAGGGCCGGAAGGCGGCGGTGGAGCAGCACGTCGAGTCCAGCTCTCGCCAGCACCTGCTGCTCATGTGCTCGGTGGTCGGGCGGCAGCAGCAGCAGATCGCCGCGCTGAAGCAGGCCGTCGCCAAGTCATCCGCCAACACGTCCGGCACGCTCATCTGGAAGATCGGTGACTTCGCTGCGCGCATGGCCGAGTCGCGAGGAAAGGAAGGCCTTGAGCTCATCAGCACTGCCTTCTTCACCAGCCAGTACGGCTACAAACTGCAGGTGAGCCAGCCGCACCCAATCAACGGGGAGCAGGCATGCGGGAGGCTTACGTTCTCACTGTGCCTACAATATCATAGTGGCGCAATATTTGACCTTGCTGCCAGGCTGCAAACCACGGGAAGCATTTGATTGACCATGTCTTCGCACACAAGCCCTGACATGATCCGTCCCGGCAAGACACGCTCACAGCGCGAACGGGCCTTCAGAGACGTGTTACGACACGATCTCGGCGATCTCTTGCGGAGTACGTTGTAGCGAGAGGTTTCAAGTTTGCTCCAACAGATTCGGGAGGTGAACGCGTTTGTTAGACCACCACCTGAGATATCTGCCTGGTGTATATAGCGAAGGATGGCGCTTTGCCCAGCCTTCGGCTAACCAACTGGGCGGTTGACTGACGAAGTTTTCTTAACAGGCGTCACTGTTTCTAAACGGCAACGGCGCCGGCGAGGGCTCCCACCTCTCCATCTATATCAAGATCCTGCCGGGCGAGTACGACGCGTTGCTTCGCTGGCCGTTCGCCCACACCGTCTCCTTCACGCTGTACGACCAGGCGCCTACGCCCGAGGCAGTGAGTGTGGGTCGGGACAGTTGCGACCTCGCAGCGTTCGGGGCCATGGCTCGAGACGCTGCTAGGACGACGGAAGTCTGACGAGCATTGCTGGTCAGAGACTGTACCGAGGAGACCACGATCCTCGCGTGCCCAACAATTCGCCATCACGTCTGCTTTGGCGCCTGGGGAGAGGTCTCCACACCTCACCGTGTCGCGCGAGCTGTGGTGGCTGTTGTTCGGGTCAGACGCCCGGGCCCCGACTCGGCGCGGTGCAGACGGACGCCGGCGGTGGCGGCGACGCTCCTCAGTGCCCGCGGTGTTCTGTTCTGTTAGGCAACGCAACGTGAAGCGCGCTGAGTTCGTCAGCAGAGAACTTCACGCGTGACTCGCGCTGAAATTCTCCAGCTGTACATGAACATGTACAGCTGGAGATGTGTTTGTGTACTGGCGTGAACATGCACAGTCGGTGCTGTACATGTTCATGCCCGCGAACCGTCCTTCGCGTCACCAGACACGTCTCGGTGAAATCTGTGTTATCGTTCTGAGGGACTTCCGATAAGGGCGGACGAATGACAACCCTGTCCTTCCGTCGCCAGGCCTGCAATATCGTAGAGAGCTTCATCCCTGACCCGACCTGGAAGAACTTCCAGCGGCCCAGCAAGGAGCCCGACTCTCTCGGCTTCGGCTTCCCACGCTTCATCTCTCACGAAATGCTCAAACGGCGCTTCTTCGTGCGGGACGACGCCATGTTTATTCGTGTGAAGATCGAGGCTGGCAAAATCGCCGCTGTGTGAGGCGCGCGAACCGACTCAAAGTGTTGTGCGGTGTTGTTTGTTGTGTGGGTATGATTCTCTTATAGGCATCGACCTTCCACCCGCGACGGTGGTCAGACCGTCGAAGTGTGTCCGAGGACGTAGATGCAGTACGTGCCGTGTGTCGTGCGAACGACTCTTGTGTACACGTGGAGAGGATATGCAGAGCAGATGTGCGTTGAGGAGGCGCCCTTCGTTCGCGGCGGGTGCCGTCGCTTTGTTTCGTTCTTTCATGATTAACAGTCACTGGTTTGCGCTGTAAGCTGTAGTCGTCGACGGTTATTGATGTATGTGGTGCGCGAAGTCACGTCATGATCTCTGCGTGTAAATAGTGTTTACGTTGTCGCCGTAACGTTGATTGTTACAAAGGAACAAAGCTTTCAACGAATAGTCGCTAAGTCTTCATCGTACACGTAAATCACTGGTGATTTACTTTGTAAAGGATGGTAGTTCAGCTGATATTTCCTGCAATAAAATATTGGAGCACTTGTGATCGTTATCATGCCATCATCTGAACGCGATGCGTCCAAGGGGAAAAGAGAAAACGAATGCTCACCACCGTGACATTTGCGGTCACCTGCAAATATTTCTGAGCCCGCAACCTCGTCAAGCCAAATTCGAGGGAACAGAGTATTACTATTCCGCCCGTACAGGACGGGACAGGTTTGCGCAGAACAAAACAGGACAAAACAAGTCAACACGCGAAAGGCTAAGATAGGAAAGACCAATACAGGATTGGGCTCACACCAGCTCTGCCCCGCCTCCCTCTGTTCTTTTCGCCTGACCTGAGTCTGTTCCAATCTTCACGTGTCACGTTCCATCGTGTCCTGTCCTGTATTGTTTTGTTCCATACAGTCCTGTCCTTCCTCCTGAAAGTCCGGGACATGTCCTGGACATGTCCAGTGCTTGGCATGAGAAAAGCTGGTCGCATTTGTTGATGAGCTTGCTGAACTTACAGATGTCTTCCCCACAATGACGAGATTTCCCTTTGTTAGGCTTGGTGGCCTCTTGCTGAAGTTCGGCCGATTACCATTTGAATTATCCGCATTTATGCAGGAGATGCTCCAGAGCTTGTTCTGGAAAGTACCAGAACACCATACGAATGACGCAGTGGCCGTTTGCGATCAGCATTCAGAAACCCTTTCCATTATGGACTTGTGAGTGACATATGACAGTGCCCACGTTGGAAATTGTCCACTAAAATCCATGTCCACGTTGGAAACAACTAAAATTTCTGTGGTGTCAGATAAAATCGATTCCTTGAGAATGTGTGTTGGTGGGAGTGGAAAATGAGCAAACCGTACTTAATACAGTCGTTGGTAAGTCGGTTCAAATATGCGTATAAACGGCAGCTAATATTCCTATCTTGACCGCTGCTGTAGTGCAGCAAAGCGAACGCTAGCTGTTGTGCAGTCCTATTAGGCCGTGACGTGCCGGGTGTCACAGGTTATCGCGGGGTGCCAGAACCTTAGGGTGCCCAAGGCAGGTTTGTTGCTGTGCATACAGCAGTTTGTATCCCACATCGCTGCCAACGAAATTGGCCGCACCGGAACTGATTCCAGAATCAAGCCTCATCAGAATGGAAATAGACTCGAGATTAGGTTGTGCTGCTCGAAGTCAGAACCAGAGTAGACCAAATGCGCTGGTAGAGTTGGAATCGATCTCGCATGAGAACGGAGCGAAGGCAGGCGCAAATCTAGCCAATCTGTAAAGGACTCATCGTCAGGTCAGTTGTCATAGACTCGAGGGATGCGTGGCAAACATAGCTAACGGAATGCGGCCAACCCCTTTCAACTATGATTACATTTTCGGATTGAAGCAGGTTAAGCTTCCCGGTGAAATGCAGATGGAATAATTGTTCGGTTATCGTCCTTGCCTCGTGAGTTAGTATGCACTCAACGTGTCGGTCAGTTCATCACTCGGCCGTCGTCGGGTATCATCAAGTTTTGAGAATGACTGGATTGTGGTCGGTTTTCAGCTACGCATGTGTCACAACCCGAATTTTCTTCTTGGAATTGCTGGGATGCCAACCAGGGTCCCCAGGGTCCCCCCATCCCAGCTTCTAACCGGAAAGGACATGCCATTACAGGTTACACGTATTCCGTAAAGGTCACACCTCTACGGAATGACTGAGGCGAGGCGTTACTATAACGGAGCAAATAAATGGTTAGACTATGGCCGTCGTCTGGCGAATTCACCATCCACGCAACACTTCTGCTAATTCTCCGGTTGCCGACATGTGCTATTGGTTTTTTTAGAAGAATTGGATGGTGCTCGGGTTTGAGCCGGTACACATGTGGAACCGAACTGCCATCTTGGAATTTTCAGGATTCCAGCCGGAGCTCTTCCCGCTTAGCTCCGTAGTAAGCCGCTGGAGTCGGAATCAAGAGGTCCAGGTTCTAATCACTGCAGTTATAATTACTGCAGGGAATTCCGGCTGTGATGCGTACATGGCTGGAAGCCGAAAGCCACCCAGTCTTTCCAAACACTCAATAACACCTTTCGACGGCCGGAGAATTAACAATCTGAAACTTCGTGTAGATGCTAACACAGCAAACGAAGACGACAGTCTGGACCATTATTCCATGGTAATGTACTCGTTGTCATTATTCCGGAAAAACGGGAGAGTCATTCAAGCACGTCCACACATGGCGGTTGAAGCGGATCTGGGAAGGTCCTGAAGCAAGATTGAGACTACCTGTATTGGGCGTTGAAAAGCGTTTTGACGAGATCTCGCAATCAATTTGTAAGATCCGCAGCACTCTGCTGGCTTGGAACTGGCGTTCTCAAATTAGGTCTAGTTTACGCTAGCTCCGTACCTAGTTTTGCCCTACAAAACCCATCGTCATCCGTAGCATTTCCGGAACTCTCACCTTCCACTCCGTCTTTCTCGCTTGCTGCGTTCGTAGAGAAATTATTTCAGCGATAAAGTATCGAAACAGCCTGAAATACCCAGAAGCTGGGCTGGTTGGGAAATATTTAGTACCTTCCAAAACATTCCAAATTTGGTAGCTCTTACTGTGTACAATTTGTAGGTGAACGAGACAAAATTCAAGGACCGGCAATGCCCATAATACTTTCAATGTAATTGGCACATCGCGCACGTTGAAGTCGGATTGTTTTTGCATCGGGTTTTGCGTACATTCTGATCAGATTATCAGTTGGAGATGGAGTTATACCATTTCAAGGACTCCAGACCTATACCGGATAAAATGTTTGCCTATACAGATGATTTGAAAGGCGTCCCATTGGTAATTGACAATGGTGAGTGGTGATGTTATCTTAATTGAGCTTGCACCTTTGCAGTGCAGGAAAATATTCTGGGCCTTTGTTGGTCCCACATGAAATTAATGGTATGTTTACTTTGCTACTTGCTTTTTAATGTTCACTAAATACAGTAACTCAAGCAAATGACAAAATTAATTTTTGCAAATACTTGTCGTGGTTGCACCATGGGGTCACAGTTAAGAGTTAGCTTCTCATCATGTTTAGGACATAATGCACTCAATTTGTAGCCCAATCAAAGGTGCTAGCTATTCTGGTGTTGATATGTCTTTCCTGTTGGATATTATTAAGATGACAATTTTTAGTACATGCTTGATAACTTCCTTAATTATGCATTTGGTCCTTGGTGGATTTTGATGGGCTGGAGCAAATTGTAAGAGTATAGCCATGTGTGCTTTTTGACTGTAAGTGATGACATCTGAGTGCTCATTTGTTCAGGATCATATACTGCAAAGGTTGGCTGGGCAAATCAGCCAGAGCCAGCAATGATTTTTAAAAACCTCATCACCAAAGTCAGGAAGGAAAGGACTAAAAAGGTGAGTGAAATTGGAATTTTATTTGCCTACATTTAATACACAGCATCAAGTATAATATTTTTGCGCTGTTTTATCATCAGCGATATGTTCCAAGTAACATTTGTGAGTAAACTGGAACCAGATGATACAAAGTACATTTTGCTTACTGCTCACTAACTTTTCAATAAAAAATTCAAGATTATCAGAGCAGCATTGCATAGTGCCAGCATTACATCAATCAGCTGATATGCATTTACTTGTCCATTTTACAGCCTGACAGAGTTCTAGTAATGCTTTTTTGTGTCATACTTTGCTTCTTAACCTCTGCTTCATTACTATATGCATGACAGGCAGGACCTCTTGGTACAGTTTAGCTTTGCACCCAAACTGACCCAAGCACATGCTAATTCTGCCATTGGAAGTGGCTTAAGTACCAATCACTATCCACTGATTCCATCCCATCCCCACCCAGGGTCCCTAACCAAAACCAGCACAGCCCTCACCACTGCACCTGCAGTGCCCAGCCCATCGCGACAGTAGCCGGCCGCGCTCTGTGCACAGGACCTGGAGACCCAGATCGGCAACGACATCGCCAACCTGGAGGCGGGGCGCCTGAACCTGCGCACACAGTTCGACCGCGGCGTGGTGACGCATTTCGAGGCGCAAGAGACGCTGTTGGACTACTCGCTGACGCACCTGGGTGTCAACACGCCCGGGGGCCTCCACCACCCGGTGGTCATCAGCGAGCCGCCGGCCAACATCAACCTGTCACGCGCCGGTGAGGTGTACCGCGTCCCGCCCGGCCGGGCTCGATGCACGCATGTAGGCGGGAGCGCGCCGGGACCCGTTTCAATACAGCTGTCGTGCACGGCAGGGGTCGGTGGAGTGACCTGTTGTGGCGATGACATTTTGTAGGCAGTGCATCCGTTGCAGGCTGCCTTTGTTCTCGTGGTTAAGCTTCATTTGAAGTCTTCGATGGAGCTGGGACGTTGCATTGGAGTAAAGACGCCACGAGGCCAACGCACTGACTCAAGTTGCATAGCTCGGCACGGCTCTGCCGAGGAACTCGTTGAGATGCCGCCTGTAATTCCGTGCTTGCCGCCCACCTCCCGTACAACGATCGTGGTCCCGTGCGTTGATCGCTGTCTGGTGGAGGGCCGATGGATGGCTTGGGCTGCCATGTGATAGCCATAGGTCCATACCATACGTGCCGTCCGCAACCGCCTGTGGCCCGTGTGATGGCCGATAGCTGGCAGTGGCTGTGTGAATGTATCAGAGTCTCGTCAGCCCATCGCTGGAGCGGCGGGAGATGGTACGGTGACGGGCCGCTGTCTGCCCCCAGCCATGTCCGAGCTGCTGTTCGAGTGTTACCGCGTGCCGTCGGTCAGCTACTTCGTGGACGCGCTGGCCAGCCTGCAGCAGAACCAGCCGGATTGCCGGGACGCGCTGGTCATCTCCTGCGGCTACCACGCCACCCACGTCATCCCCGTGCTAGGTCAGCGCGCGTGCCGGGTCGAGAGCAGCCGGTCGCTGCCAGAGGGGGGGGGGGGGGGGAGAGCTGGGCACACCGACGCCGTACGCCGTCGCGACGCTGCAATGGCTGTCGGCGACATATGTACGGACTGACCCGTCCGCCCAGCCCACGAACGCGTCAGGCAGTACTGATCGGCCGGCGGCTCATGTCATTGCGGTGTTGAGTGGCTGCCCGTTCGCGACCGCGCTGTCCTGGGGGTCACGCGGAGCGCCGGCCACGCTGGGACCGTGTCATTTCGGCCTAGTTTCTGGGGGTCATGCTGGTGGTGGTGCGCGCGTGCTGGACAGGCAGACCACCGCCCGGTGGTTGGACACCACCAGGCTGTGCCCCGCGCGTGGTGTGCAAATGCGTCATCTCTTGGTGTCTGACCTGCATCGATCTCGCCCATGAGCTGACAGGCGGTATCTGTCGGAGACGCATGCTCGACGGAAGGCTGAACTCATGACGCATCTCCGCGCTCCACAGACGGCCGGATGGACGCGGCCAACGCTCGACGTATCGGCGTGGGGGGCTTCCTCATGTGCAGCTATCTGCAGCGCCTGCTGCAGCTCAAGTTCCCTTCCGTCATGGCGTCCATCACGCTCTCTCGAGCTGAGGCAGGTGTTCCGACCAGCGGACGAGGTCACGGGTGGCTACGCAGCCGCGCCGTGGGCGTCCGGTGCGGTGACGTCCCCAGCACCGTGCTGTGGTGCTGCGGGAAGGACGAAGTCCAGTCTTTTGATCTATAATCGCGGCGTTGTGGCTGGCTGTTGCCAGCATGGTACGGTTTGTAAGCTGCGGGCACGGGCACGGTTTGGGTTTGTGGCCGTCGCTCTACAAAATGCGCGATTTTGGTTTCATTTTCATCCGTTTTGGAGATAAGACGTGTTCTTCAGCAACCAACCACTACTTCCGGAAGCTGATTCTCGTGGCCATGCAATATCAAACGTCATCTGTCCTATTCTCCTGCGTGCAATCATGATGTCGACTGGGATCACTGCTCCCATCCGTTTGATATCAGTCCCAGTCCAACTGGCTGCCGCCGGTGGGCGCGCGCGCGGCAGCTGCCGACATGTCCACCCCTCTCATCTCACGGCCTCGCAGGAGATCCTGCACGAGCTGGCGGGACTGGCGGTGGACTACCCGTCCGAGCTGGCACACTGGGCCGAACCGGCGCACCGCGAGCAGCGGCGGCGGCGGCTGCAGCTGCCGCTCAGCGCCGCGGTCAGCCGGGAGAGCGGCCCGGAGCCGCCGGCCGTCGACGCCGTGCGAGACAGGAAGCGGAACGCCCAGGCGCGCATGCTCGAGATGCACCGCAAGAAGCGCCAGGCCATGGTGAGGCGGGACGGCGCCTCCCAGCTGTCCAGCCGTCAGTAGCTGTCACGAACGGGGCTCAGGCTCGGGAGCCAGCTGTCTCGGGCGGGACGCAGGCTCAGGAGCCAGCTGTCTCGGGCGGGGCGCAGGCTCGGGAGCCAGCTGTCTCGGGCGGGACGCAGGCTCAGGAGCCAGGTGTCACGGGCGGGGCTCAGGCTCGGGAGTCAGCTGTCTCGGGCGGGACGCAGACTCGAGAGCCAGCTGTCTCGGGCGGGACGCAGGCTCGGGAGCCAGCTGTCTCGGGCGGGACGCAGGCTCGGGAGCCAGCTGTCTCGGGCGGGGCTCAGGCTCGGGAGCCGGCTGTCTCGGGCGGGACGCGGGCTCGGGAGCCAGCTGTTTCGGGCGGGACGCAGGCTCGGGAGCCAGCTGTCTCGGGCGGGGCGCAGGCTCAGGAGCCAGCTGTCTCGGGCGGGGCTCAGGCTCGGGAGCCAGCCGTCTCGGGCGGGACGCAGGCTCAGGAGCCAGGTGTCACGGGCGGGGCTCAGGCTCGGGAGCCAGCTGTCTCGGGCGGGACGCAGGCTCGGGAGCCAGCTGTCTCGGGCGGGACGCAGGCTCAGGAGCCAGCTGTCACGGGCGGGACGCAGGCTCGGGAGCCAGCTGTCTCGGGCGGGACGCAGGCTCAGGAGCCAGCTGTCTCGGGCGGGGCTCAGGCTCGGGAGCCAGCTGTCTCGGGCGGGACGCAGGCTCAGGAGCCAGCTGTCACGGGCGGGACGCAGGCTCGGGAGCCAGCTGTCTCGGGCGGGACGCAGGCTCGGGAGCCAGCTGTCTCGGGCGGGACGCAGGCTCGGGAGCCAGCTGTCTCGGGCGGGACGCAGGCTCGAGAGCCAGCTGTCTCGGGCGGGACGCAGGCTCAGGAGCCAGCTGTCTCGGGCGGGGCTCAGGCTCGGGAGCCAGCTGTCTCGGGCGGGACGCAGGCTCGGGAGCCAGCTGTCTCGGGCGGGGCGCAGGCTCAGGAGCCAGCTGTCTCGGGCGGGACGCAGGCTCAGGAGCCAGCTGTCTCGGGCGGGGCGCAGGCTCAGGAGCCAGCTGTCTCGGGCGGGACGCAGGCTCAGGAGCCAGCTGTCTCGGGAGCCAGCTGTCTCGGGCGGGGTGCAGGCTCGGGAGCCAGCTGTCCCGGGCGGGATGCAGGCTCGGGAGCCAGCTGTCTCGGGCGGGGCTCAGCCTTGGGAAGAAGTCCGATTTTGACGTCACATCAGGCTGATGTCGGCAGCGGGGTTTGCGTCCTTACGCTGCTGTATCATTGCATTTAGTGATTGACTGCCACGAGGAAAGCTTATTGGTGGCCTATTAGAGGAGAAAATGGGCGTCGCTTTTTCATTTCGAGGCAGAAATCAAGTAAGCCTGTATGTAGAACTGATGATAAAATAGATCTGACTGAACTGCTGATTATATCGTTTGTGAAAGAGAATGTCTGTCCGTGGTCGTTTCATGCCGCTCCGAGTGTCTGTCCGTTCCATCCCAGCTACTCTGTGCAGCATTACGCCCACAGTAGGTCGCGCCCTAGTCGCCCATCCGTCCGCCAGGTGGCTGACGACGAGCGGAAGCTGGCGCGCCTGCGTCAGTCGCCGCACGCGGAGCCGGAGCAGCTGCGCGAGCTGGAGGCGCGGCTGGAGACGGGCCGTGCCAAGCTTGCCGGCCTGGCGGCGCGTGGCCGGCAGACGGCGCCCCGTCCGCCGCCGGCTGACCTGGACGCCCAGCTGCAGCAGCTGGAGCGGCGACGGTCAGTGTCGGGGCGAGCTCACGGGGACTGGAGGGACTCGTCTCTCGACGGACCCTGTGGAGGCTGTATGGTGATGGACCGGATCCCGCCGGAGTTTCGTCAGGTTTTGATCGATGTTGTTGCTGGTTGTGGCTCAGGTTGTGCGCCGTTTGTCGGTAATACTCGACATTTTGAATGCGTTGTTGATTCCTTTGCTCACAACCATGGCCCTGTATCAGCCATTGACCTGCTTTTCAAGGTCTCAGATCCACCATATATCACTGAGCTCACCTTTGTTCACCGTGAACCTGCCACAACTTGAACGCTCCACGTGCAGATATCTTACTCTTGGGACCCTATCTTGGCTACGGGTACTCTGTCTCGGCGACAGACAGGTTCCGTTCTGCCTGCCGATGCCGATTTCACCCGCTGGCGCCGGCGGGCGCGCCTCGCCCGGTTCCTGACCGCCTTAGTGACCCACCTTCCCCTCCCCACCGGCAGCCGGGAGTTGTTGGATCGGCGCGCGGCGCGGCGCCAGCGGCGCTCCGAGATGGCGCGCCGCCGCACGGCCGCCAGCCAGCAGCGCATGCGCATCATCAGCCAGCTGGCGCAGCGTGACACCAAGGAGGACACGTTCGGTCAGCGCGACGAGGACTGGGACCTCTACAAGACCATCAACACCGTACGTGATGGGCTGCCGAGGCGGGCGCTGGTCCACTCTGTGATGGAGTACTCTCCTAGTTCCCTGATAATGTGCTGCTTTTTGTTGCGGACTCCAGCATGCCTCGCATTGCCATGGAGATATTCGCTCCACCAATGCTCCCGGCTGCCCTTGCCCGGCTGAGCCGAGTGAGGTGGACGAGTGGTGTCTGTGTGTTGCAGTCCACTGGCTTAGCCAACTTCAGTGCTATGTGTGCTGGAGGCAGGCTGCAGGCACCGCTCGAGAGGCGTCTCGGACGGCGGGATTGTCCGCTGACGGCGCGCGCGGCCGGCAGGAGGGCGGCGACAGTGACTCGGAGGCCGACACCGAGGAGCTGGCCGAGCTGGAGGGCCGACTGCGCCAGCTGGCGCCCGACCTGCCGCGGCGCCAGCAGCCGGCCGGCTCCAGCGCCGAGCTCCACCAGATCGAGCTGACCACCGAGGCGCTGCAGACGCCGGAGGTGCTGTTCCAGCCCAGGTGAGCCGCACCAGGCCCTGCCGAGCTCGGAGGCGCTGCAGACGCCGGAGGTGCTGTTCCAGCCCAGATGAGCCGCACCAGGCCCTGCCGAGCTCGGAGGCGCTGCAGACGCCGGAGGTGCTATTCCAGCCCAGGTGAGCCGCGCCAGGCCCTGCCGAGCTCGGAGGCGCTGCAGACGCCGGAGGTGCTGTTCCAGCCCAGGTGAGCCGCACCAGGCCCTGCCGAGCTCGGAGGCGCTGCAGACGCCGGAGGTGCTGTTCCAGCCCAGATGAGCTGCACCAGGCCCTGCCGAGCTCAGAGGCACCGCAGGCGCCAGCGGTTCCGGCCCTGTCCGGGTATGACCGTGTCTTGTTTTGATGGTCGTGCTTGGTGTACGGTAGGGGACGGTATGGAAGTGTCAGCTCATCGTTCAGCATTGTGTTTGTGGGGCCGACGGGCGAGACGGGGTGATGCATGAACCAGCGTTCGTCGATAGCTGCGTTGTATTTAACCTCAGCCAGCTGTGCCTTGGGCCCGGCGGTGCTTGACGTGCCGTGGCGTGGGACGCACGTGGTAATGGCCTCGTGTGAGCTGTCCGCTCCCTCGCCCTGAGGCCGCCGGCCGTGCCGTTTGCCGCAGTCTGCTGGGTATGAGCCAGGCGGGGCTGGCCGAGACGGTCCAGTTCGTGCTGAACAAGCAGCCGGCGGCCGAGCAGCAGCGGCTGGCCGACAATGTGTTCATCACCGGGGGCCTGGCCCGCCTGCCCGGCTTCCAGGCGCGCATGGAGCGTGAGCTGCGCCAGATGCGGCCCTTCCAGACCAGGTGGGTACCACCTGCGCCCGTACCGTACGTACGAGGTACGGGGTTCGATTCCCCGCGGTCCCCGCCCTTCCTGCTAGGGTGAGAGGCGGGCGACGCCATACAGCCTCAGCAGCTGAGTGCGTCGTAAAGCCCCAATGACACACACCCACACGCACACACACACGCGCTCGTACCGCCTGCACCCACTTACCGCCAGATAGGTGGGTACCCATTCGATCCAGTCCGGTCCGGTCCGGTCCCGTACCGTACCGTACAGCACAGCACAGCACAGCACAGCACAGCACAGCACAGCACAGCACAGCACAGCAGTTCAGTCCAGGTGAGCGACATTGATCCTTCCAGCCTGGTGGGTACCTCCGACCCCTCCAGTCCGCGTGGGTACCACTGATCCTTCCAGTCCAGGTGGGTATCACCCAGGGTGATATACACGGTGTAGAACGAAGTTCTGCAAGAAGCAACAACTGTTGTATAAAACAAGACAGTAATGCTCAACGTAGGCTAAATTTCTAGCTGATACTTATTATTTGGCAACTTGCTATTGAGGGTAGCGTGGTGCAGCTGCCTCATAAGTGCACGCATTTAAAATTGAAATAAATGCTATGTCCAATGACTTTGGGAAAAATTCATGTCTTTATACACTGCACTATACTTTATTTTTTATTTATTATTTATTATCCATTTATGCATATAAAACTTTATACACTGGCAGCGTGTACTGGCCGATGGGGGAAACAAGCATCTCGTCTACCGAATGGCAGCTAGGGGCTTCCTTATTGCAGGCGTCTAGCCAGAGCTGACGAGCGCGTGGGGCGCCTGGCCAGAGCTGACAAGCTTGTGAGTTCGGCTTTGGATGGGGAGCCGCCCCGGAGCGGGACCAACGCCGGTCTGGTGCCGGACCGGCCGTGGTCTGGTGCCGGACCAACCCTGGTCTGGTGCCGGACCAACCCTGCTCGGGTGCCGGACCGGCCGTGGTCTTTCGCCACCGGGGAGTGATGCAGGTGTGGACGCACGTAGGCGCTGCGTGCCCGAGAGTCGGGACGGCGGAAACGAAATCCCATGCTTGCCCTCGATCTTGATGACTGGGACTTGAGGGCGCGCCGACGGCCGAGGCTGCGTTGCGCCCTCGTGCCTCTTTTGCTGTGCCGTGCTTCATTCCAAAAAGGAATTCGACTATGCGCACTCTTTGTATTCAGTCGGGCATTTCCAGCACCTATACGGCGACATCGGCTGATAATAAGCGGACAACGATGGCATTGACAACGAAGCCTTGGGTTGGAGAACAGGATCACGCAGCACTACACACTCAAATGGCACCCAGCGCATCTCCCAATCCGTTCAGCGAACATTTATAGAATGACAGCCGCGCTATTTGCAGCTATCTATGCACCAGCACGACACAGTCTCATGAGAAGGCAGGGTGCACCTGGTCTGCGCGAGGATCACACGCAATAGCGTTATGCGACAGCCAGAAATACTGATCGGTTGTGACAGCCATATGCCCCGTCAGGCCCTGGGTTAGTTGCGTGGCACAAGCGTAGCACATCTTGACGATACAACCGGCACGCTCCCTTGACGATAAGCAAACCTAACTCCTTGGCCAGGATGCACTTCATGCAAAGCATTCATGTTCATGCCGTAAGTATCCACACCAACCAGCTACCCTCATAAAACCCCGATCAATATAACGACAATCATGGCGACTAGCCCCAATTGGACCCTGAAGAATACATATAAACTATCTGAAGCTACTCGCTTGGACGTCCCGTCTCTACCCGCATTACGTTGCCAGCTAATATTGCACCACCCGCGGGAAGGACTGGGTTGCCACCTGAGCTGGCGGACGCCGAGCCCTCCAGACCAGACCCGCGTTCCCTACCCTGGTATCCGACCGTGCATGCCTGACCCGAACTTCGGGGAGCAGCGGACTTGTCAAATGTCGCTGCCCGTCGCAGTGACTGCAAGCTGCGTCTGATTGAAAGGGGTGCAAGCGGACAGGCCGTTTGTGTGCTCGGCTAGGGTGTACAGCCACCGCACGTGCTGCCCGCACAGGTGTCTTGTGTTCGTAGTGCCCATCCCCTCAATGTGGTCATTATGCGAATGCGCAAAATGTGGAATATCATAGTATGATCGTGCCGGTATTGATACGGCTTGTGCATTGTGTACCGGTGTACCATGCTGGCCCGCGGGATTGACTATCCTATCGTGTGTTTCCGCCCCCGTGCCGGCGGGCGGCTGTTTTGTGACGCTGCTGTCGGCCGTCCCCAGCTTCCGCGTCACGCTGGCCAGCCGCCCTTCGCTGGATGCCTGGCTGGGCGCGCGCGCGCTGGCCGCAGCCGGCCGGCTCGGCTTTGTCAGTCGACAGCAGTACGACGAGTGCGGCGCCGAGTTCCTCGCCGAACACCTGCTCTCCAACCCGTTCTGGCCGAGTCCGGACGGCGCGCCGCCGCCGGCCGAACCGTGAACGTCGCCCCTTCGTCGTCGCCGACGTGCGGCGCCTGGGACGAACACGCGCGGCCGGCGGCAAGCTACCTCCGGGGACGGGACGAGCGGTCCCTGGCGGCAGGCGCCGCCGCCGCTGGGGTGGCCCGATGGGGGCTTCGAGGGCCCTCCGCGCCCCGGGTATGGAGGCGAAGCCGCGTCGTGACTGCCAACCAGTGGAAGCGCCCGAAAGCCCCAATTACTACTGCCAACATTGAAAGCGGTTGTGTTCGGTAGGCGTGTTCGGTGGCGCATAAACCGCGAGAATAAATCCGACGACCAGGCGACAGACGCAGGTGTCTGGCATCCAGCACCGCATGCGATTCTTAGATCGCGTGAGGGGGGGGGGACGACATAAAACTACACGCGAACTGAGCCCTCCTCCCCGCCAGTTGACCCCGTTTCCTGGGCGGAGGCGACCACCGTAGGCGCCAACAACGGCCGATCCTCGCCGGGTTCGGCGTCGGCGGGGGAGGCCGGCCGTTCTCTCGCCGACGTCTGTGGCGTGACGTCATCAGAATCGGCAGTGGCGGCGGCCACGTGGTCCGCAGCATTTCCGGCCGGCGGTGTGATGTCGCCAGAGCGGGGCAGTTTTGCGGCGTCCCCAGCGAGGCTGGCGCCTGCTGCTGGTCCGGCGCCTGCCTCCAGTTTCGAGCCGCCTTCGGACGGCGGTCCGCTCCGAAGGGCCGTGTGCCGGCGGCCGGCGGCCGGTGGTGGCCGCGTACACCGCGAACAGGCACCAGCTGGGGACGGAGGGGAGGGGTGGGGGGCACGGTCGCGACGTCAGCGGAACACAGAAGGAGCACCGTCTCACAGCTTCTGACAGACACCAGCCGAGGGCGCGAGGCATCGGTACGACCTAACTTGGCGGGCACATCGCCAGCTCAGAAACAGCTGGGGCACAATCCATGCCCGCGGCACTGGACGAAGACGCGTCAGGGAATCAGCGACGTGTGGGCGTCCCACTGGGGCACGTTGGCGAAGGCCGCGCTGCTGATGTGATGCACCCCAGCTACTGACCATAATCGAAATTATTCTAGCGGTAGTCGCGATCATGCTTCACCTGGTGCGGAAGCTAAAATGCCGATCCATGAAGTAATGACGCGTCGGTCCGACAGAACAACCGTCATCGAAACACATATTCAGCATATCTACACACCCGGCTGTAGCTACCTCTGAAACACCGTATGCCACCAATATGGCTATCGATCAGCCATACAACCAGCCGAAGTACCACAGTCGAGAGCCACTCGAAGCCCATATCACTGCCACAAGATGCTAAAAACAGAAACTCACCCTATCACCCAGAATATGTAGGAAAGGATGATGAGCACGCCGAAGTCCTGCGCGTGCGGAATGAACACCACCAGGAGGTTCTTGGCCGTATCCATGGTCATGTTGAGCGCGCTCTGCACGCCCGATATGGTGCCGCGCCGCCACTCTGGCACGCGCTCCTGCAGCAGCTGAGTCACGCTCAGGTCGCTGATCCAAAGCCCTGTTGGCGGCACGACCGGCCTTCAGCGGGTGAGTCGGGCGCCGGCCCCTCCCGCCACGCACGCAGATGAGGTGCGCGCTCCAAAGGCAGGACAGGCTCCGAACATGCGCTGCACAGGCGGGTGTGTGCGGGTCGGCAGGTACGAGCACCGGCCGCGCAGATGAGGTGCGCGCTCCAAAGGCAGGACAGGCTCCGAACATGCGCTGCGCGGGCGGGTGTGTGCGGGTCGGCAGGTACGAGCACCAGCCGCCGGGCACACACCACGGCCATGCTCCAGTCAGGCCGGCGGCCGAGCCGCGCCACTCACCGCAGCGCGCTAGGATGATGCCGCTGAAGAGGGTGATCACCGAGGTGTGCGTGTGCGGCGCGCCGGACCGCGCCAGGGGGGCGAACGCCGTGCCCGGCAGGAACACCGAGGTCAGGCTGAGAGTCTGGGCGAGCACCGCTAGACTGAAGCCGATCACGCCGGCCAGCTGCGGCGCCGAGGAGCCGGCGTCACGGGCTGGACACGCCGGCCCGGGTTGGACACGGGCCGCGGAGCCAGACTCCACACAGGCCGGGACGCGGCTGTGCATAAATAGAACGCTGCTCGCCGCTGCAGGCGGCGAAATGGTGCGGGGTTCGCGGCACTGGACACACGAATCAGAATCTAGCACCGTATGCTGCGACACCGGGTGAGGCCGCCCCGAGTTGCACAGTTGAAGCCGGGATGAGGGCGGACTGACTAGTCGTCACTCTAACAGGGCCACAGTCAGCACTCGACGTGAATCACGGACGTGAATGGCGACAAGCCGCAAGTGAGTGCCGGGATCGGATCACGCGCCATCCGGTAACCTCGCTGGTGCCGTGAGCGCGCATAGCAGACTGCCGGTGTCACCAGTGTGGCGAAACAGCCACGTAGAATACGAGCTGGTCTCGAAGAATGGTCTCGCGCAAACCCTACGGTCTCACTGCTGCTGGCCTCACGTCTCAGGCGGGTCTGGCCTCGACTATCCGGGCCCAGTCCATCGGGCGACTGACCGTTGGCCCGACGACGGAGCGCAGCTTGGGGAAGCACAGCGAGCCGCAGATGCCAGCGACGGCGCCGGCCGCCGTCAGCAGACTCAGCGTCGACTCGGTCAGGCCCTGCGAGTAGCCGTACCCTGCAGGCGACAGGCGACAGACGGCTCACACGTGCCCGTCTGACTTATCTCGGCTGGTAACACCGAGGCAATGTAGCGCTGTTCGAAGGGCGCATTCAGTGGTGGACAAACTCCTGCCGACGGTGTACTGCTGTTCATCTAGGAGGGGTCGCCGTGAGAGACGCCGAGTGACACTGGCACGGGAAAACGAGAGTTCACCGGACAGCTATGAACAGATGTTCTAGCACATCTCTCGAGGGCGCCGACACCTGTCGGCGGTGCCGGTCGCGTGAGCGCGGCCTACTCTCACCAGCCGGATGAGCGCGGCCGACTCTCACCAGCCGGGTAAGCGCGGCCGACTCCCACCGGCCAGATGAGCGCGGCTGACTCACCGGCCGGGTGAACGCGGCCGACTCTCACCGGCCGGGTGAACGCGGCCGACTCCCACCGGCCAGATGGGCGCGGCTGACTCACCGGCCGGGTGAGCGCGGCCAACTCTCACCGGCCGGGTGAACGCGGCCGACTCTCACCGGCCAGATGGGCGCGGCTGACTCACCGGCCGGGTGAACGCGGCCGACTCTCACCGGCCAGGTGAGCGCGGCCGACTCTCACCGGCCGGGTGAGCGCGGCCAACTCTCACCGGCCGTTATGTTGTCAAAGCCGAGCACGGTCATATACAGGCTGGCCAGCGCCAGGCCGGCCAGGCAGAACGACGAGCGGAAGTAGGCGCTCCAGCCCTGCCCCATGTCCTGCAGCCGCTGGCAGCACCAGCCGCCCAGGCCGCAGCAGGCTGCTGGCGCCGCTGCTGACGTCACACCGGCGTCGAGTGACGTCACATCACCGTGCACCAGTCCTGTCGCCGCGCTGCCGATCAGCCAGCGGCGTGGAGTGTTTGGTCGCTCGCAGAGCACACGGACGAACGCGCAAACAGGCGAAAATAGGGCTGTATCAAGCTGCATCAAACGGTGGCTCGCCGCGTACGACGGTGCGCAGTGTGGGATATGACAAAACAGTCAAAACAGGCACAAAATTGAGCTTATTCTGGCTGAATGAGTTCTAGTCGTGAGACAAGGTGCCCTGCCGCGGATTCGACGCGCGTTCCAACAGCCTTGACGAATTCTGAATGGTCCTCTGATGACTATAACGGGCAGTCGGCCTGCCCACCTCAGAAGCGGGACGCGTCGCAGCTGGCGGCGGGTCCGGCACCAGGGTCAGTGAGGCCGGTGGCCGACACCACCCGCAATGAGGGAGCTCAAACAAACAGTATGATGAGGCTGGCACGCCTCTCCCAGCAGCCGGTCCTCCCCAGGGCCGGAGCGGCGGTCGGCCGCCAGCGGGGCGGCGGGGACGCGTACCGGCCGGCGGCGGCGGGCGGCAGACCGTTCTCGGGCGGCGGCGGCTGCTTGTCTTGCGCCAGCTGCGGCACGCTGCGGTACACGACCCGCAGCAGCGCGTACTCCGCCGCCAGCGACACCACGTTCCACGCAGCCATGAAGGCGGCCGCCACCACCGGCGAGAGGAACGTCATCAGCTGGCCGACCAGCACCGGCGCCAGGATGTACGTACCCTGGTCGATGGTGCGGAACGCAGAGTTCATCCCTGCCGGCCGAGACACCTGCGATGAGGACGGGTGCAAATGCAGCACGGAGATGAGGGCACTCCGGAAAAGCCGCCACGGGTCGCAGATTGCTACCAACTACAAAGTTTTGAGCAGAGAACGGTTAGCACAGTCGATTTACATCTGTTTTTAGGACCGTTAGACATCTTCCATAACTATGCGGTCTGGACCGGTGGCTGACCCCGCGGAAGACGTCAGACGGGACGCATGTGAGCAGCCTCCTTGTGTTCACGAGCCTGCACAGACCCCCTGCAGCCCACCAGGTACGAGGGATCCACCCGGCCACTGGCACCCGCTCCCAGGGCGCACACCTGGCACCAGTCCAGACACGTACAAGCCAGCTTGTCGTCGTCACCGTGTGACATCACGACGATCCAGTCCTTCTCGATGGTGATCTTGTTGGCGACGGTGGCCAGCTGCAGCTACGTCCGCCACCAGTATGACCAGCACCTGCAGCGCAGCCGGCCAGTCTCGGCTGAGGATACACATGCTGCTCGTCCGGAGGGGCCGACGCCGTGGAACCAAGCCAGGGGTGAAACAAGGGCGTAGGAGCAAGCAAACGACAAAACATACGACAAACACACGACAAAAGCAATGCTCCCACAGCACCGTAGAAAGCGGCAGAATGTGGTGAAGTGAATCAGGCTCAGTACGAAAGGCGAGCGAACCAGAGAGTCTGCCCCAAGCAACCGCCTTCCGTCCAGGAGCAAACACCTTCACATCCTGCCCCGTGCCCAGTCTGCAATAGAATCCAGACCTTTGCAAGCACAAATAGGTCCCAACCTTGACGCATTCTCATCAAGCCTTATGCAGGACCCGAACCAAGATAGGCTTGCTCTAGGGCCAGCGTGCCGCAGAGCGGCTGGAGCCACTCTATTTGCACGTGAAGGGGCCGGCGGATGACAACACGACATTACGTCAGTCCCAACTCAGCCTCGGACACACGGCTGCCACCATCTATACGGCCATTCCATGAGTGGATATGGGGCCCAACCGGGCATGCTCACCTGCAGCAAGGTCTGCAGCCAGCTGTTCCAGGTGCTGGCCGTGTAGTCGGCGTACTGGAGGCCCACGATCAGGATGACCGCGCACGTGCAGACAGACACGTTCTGCACCACTAGCGATAGCTGGGCGGCTGGCGGTCACGCGGCGACGCCGTCAGACGACACCCGCCACGACCCGACAAGTGTCGGACTTGAGACGTGCACGAGACGCGCACGAGACCCTTGAGAGCTACTCCAGAGCGGAGGAAATCACCATCTCCAGAGCAAAAACATTCACGTCAGACCTGCAGAGGGAATCACCACTCCAGAGCGACACCACCCACATCGGATGTAGACAGGAAATCACCACTCCAGAGCGACACCACTCACAACAGGCCTGCACAGGAAATCACCACTCTCCTCCTGCTGTGCTGATGAACAGCTACTACATATACTGGTCACTTTAGCATTCTCAGACGTGGAATGTACTGCAGACGACAGGCGCACCACAGCCCACTTCCACCAGCCACTGCATGAGAACGCACCCCGAAACACGCACCAAGCGTGACCAGCGTGAGGGTACAGCCACAGGGCGTGTCTGACCTCGTAGCCGGGCGGTGTGGTCGACCCAGCGGCCGACCGGTGCGCCCAGCACGATCACCGACACCGAGATGACCAGGCCGTAGAGGGCGGTGAGCCGCAGCGAGTTCGGCGTAGCGTACACCATGTACAGGCCGACAGCGAACGTCCACATGCGGTCGCCCCAGGCCGACAGGCTGGCTGCCAGGTACATGGTGTGGCGTGGCTGCCAGCGCATCCTGGCAGCCAAATTCCGCAGTGCCCGCCCACAGCAGGTGCTGTTCACACCTGGGAGCATGTTGACAGCATTTTAATCCATTTCAGCCAGCCACAAAAACTTAAGGACCACACAGTGGGATATTCCTTGACTCCCATTAGGACCAAGAGCTCAAGAACTGTGAGTGCTGGAAAAGGAAGAAGGAATATCACCTGAAAGCCTTTGATTTATCAAACACTGTGGGCACTGGAAAGAAAAAAGATTATTACTTGAAAGCCTTTGATTTACGGGTTAAGCACATTTTACCATAACATTTTGGTCAATACTATATTTATCAGACACCATAGAATGCAAAATTACCTAGTATGCTGACATAAGATCAGGGCAGGTTAGGCTGGGTCTGTTCACATGAAGCGAACCTAGAACATTGTTCCCAATGTCGTCAGGATGTAAAAAGCAGGGAAATGCATAAAAACATTCAAACCTACATGTTCAACAACGACAGTTAAATGTCAAAAGATAGTGTCACTATCAACAAACAACAGACATGCCAATCATGGTTTGATCTGTGGTCCGTGACACTGAAAACAGATAAAAAATTACAGCACCCTCTACACGCTCTAAAAGAGCTCTGCGTATGCACCCTGTATCACGTGGGGTGGTTACACACCGGGCATATACACCCTCCGAAATGACGAGTGGCTACGCACCGAGCTTATACACCCTCCAAAAATATGCTCTGTTGTATCACCTACCAAGCTTTTGCGGATTGCCAGCACTCGAGGGAGGCAAATGCAAATATGCAAAATCCCACGTGATAGCTCAGCTCGATGCATGTGACAGGCGATATCTGCATGCGACGACCAAAAGATCCTTCAATCCATTTCGAGCCAGTTCTTCTCTGTTCAAAAATTATAAGGCGCGGCGTTCGTCTCCTCGATGGCCTGATGGTTAAAGTGTCTGTCTCTCACCCGGTGGGTCCGCGTTCGACTCTTGATGTTCGCCTGATACTTGGCGGTTGGCTAGTTCAGCTCTAAGTGTGGCACGGCAAAATTTCATTGAATCATTGTACAATTGTAAATCGTTTTTCGATATCAGCCATGTGCGTAATTTCCAATGCTTTAAGGAAAGGGGTCACAGATATACTGAGGATCTCGTGAACGTCATCCCAGGCGGACAGCAGTTTTATCATAACAGCGCTCTCTAAGCGTTCCATATAAGCTGCACGTGTGCACTCTTAAAAATGTATGGTAGTTACGCACCAGGGTTATACACCTTCTAAAATGAAGAGTGGCTACGCACCGAGCCTATGCATCGTCCAAAAATATTTTAAATGTTTGCACGCGCCAGGCTTACGTGGAGTGACGGTACTGGAGGAGGCAGGCAAGTGCAAGCATGCAAAATCCCATTACAGCCCGGTAAATGAGGCCAGCAATTTGTTTAAACATCGACAACCCTATTTCGGCTGGTTATGTTCAACCTTGAGTGAAAATATTTGAGTGAAAATTGTGTAGCATGTAGTCATCAACATGCGCGCATGCACGCTTTAGAAACGCATTAGAAACAAAACCACGATGCTCAGTGATGCAGTCTCCAAAAGCCGCGCGCTGTCGGTACCGCGGCTATTACTAGGCAGCAGAGGCGCATCCACAGCCTTGGCAAGGGAGGGGCACATTGTTGACAAAGGGCCCCCTGACAGTGAAAGGAGCGAGAGAGAGAGAGAGAGAGAGAGAGAGAGAGAGAGAGAGAGAGAGAGAGAGAGAGAGAGAGAGAGAGAGAGAGAGAGAGAGAGAGAGAGAGAGAGAGAGAGAGAGAGAGAGAGAGAGAGAGAGAGAGAGATATATAGATATATATATATATATATATATATATATATATATATATATATATATACATGTGCTTATATATTGCACATTTTTACTGTCTACAAGTTACAACTGGAAGATAGGCCAGGCGTTACCCCGAGCTCTGCTCAAAGTTTACGGTAAATAAACGAGCACAATCATGCGTTAAATGATTGCATGGAATAAATCGCTGGTGCTCTTCATTCTACAATGGTCCAGTGAACCATTCCAAGCCAACAGAACTCAGAAGTTCTGTCAGAAACATACCCGGGCTGCACAGAAATAGCAAGAATTCCGCAAATGTAGGTTGAAGAACAAATGGGTCAACAGTTGCATTAACAGGGCCAAGCCATGTTTGTCTGGATATATTCAACACTCACCCAGAATTGGCTAGTGGTGCAAATTATAGAATGCAGTTTTGAGCACGCACGCTCTCATATCTTAGCAACAAAAAAAAAAACTCGACGCCAGGCGTTGCAGTCTCCTTAAGCTGCGCAGCGTTAGTTCTGCGACTAGTTTTAGGCCGTGGCCGCCACGTGGTCGAAAATGGTGACGCATCTGAAAGCACCCTTGAACGCTTTTGGACACCAAATCGTACCGTTATAGATACCGCGGGCAGATATCTCACCTGTGCGGTTTTTAGATTGATGACAATAGCGTCTTTGCAGCATCGCGAAATGATGCTGGAATCATAATCTTGGAGCTGCACGAATCAATTTTGAAAGACATTCAAAATTTTTTACGATGGTCATCGTTACGCGCTAGGCGCCCGCGCCTGGCGTCACTTGCAGTGGCCAGCGCCGTTCGGTTTTGCGAAAACTGCGAACCAAGCAATTACTGCACTTGCTCCCTGAGATTACGGGCATGTCATTGGGGGGTTCATGCCGCACTCGCTGCTGGGGCTGTATAGTGCCGCCAACCTCCCACCCTGGCGGGAAGGGCGGGCACCGTGGGGAATCGAACCCCGTACCTGTGGTTTCCCAGATGTGCAGTGGTTAACAGAGGCGAGTCAACCTCTACACTACCGGCACCCGGCGAGTAAGCGCAAACCTTTTAATGGTATTTATTTCACTAGTCAATTATGCAAAATAATGAACGTTCTCAGCGATGGCATTGTGCGTTTCAAACTCATTTCGACCCACTCCATTCAACGCTAATGAGGCTCGTTATTTCTTCCCGCTAAAGGGGCCTCCTCGAGTGCATCACTGCGGGATACATTGTCGTTTCTGGTCAAGAGCTGAAGGACCATTCTGTCCCACCGCAGTGGGTTTTCTGGCCGTCATTCTGGCAACACGGAGCGGCATTCCCTGGCTGATCCGGAGGCCCTTAGAGGGATACATCATATATTATTGATTCGCTCCCTCATGCGGGGGGCCTTCTGACCCGCGCAGTTAACCCCAGATCGACGCATGAAACGACATTAACGCAAAAACATCGCTGCTCGCCAACTTAGACAACTACATTGTCTCAGAGATTCCTCAAATGATTCAAGAGGACCTCTGACTGATATATCAGGTCACGACCCTACAGGCTGCGATTCTTTATGTGACCTACGGCCAGTCCTGCGGGCCCTTATGCCCTCCAGCTGGGCCTTTAATCGTCGTTTCCGGCCCTCTTCGCGCCTCATCCAACACTTTCCTTGCGAGCACAGGGCCCTCTTCTAGGCGCTGTGGGCCCCTGACAGATACGAGGTCCCCAACCAGTGTAGATCACTGGTCACGGCCTTAGAGCTGATTTGGAAGTGGGCCATCAGGCCCATACCGACACGGAGCTGACTGTATGGCACGTTGGTACCTGACCGACATTTAGGGCACCTATCGACTGAGGGGTCCCCGATCGCCGCAAAGGGCCCTCTGACCGTCATTTGACGGTCCGTCTTCGCAGACCGGAGCCCCTGAATAAGACGCCAATCAGTCCTTTATACCTTCAGACTCCCCAATTGGGCCATTCATCGTCGAAACTGTGGGTCCTCTGGACTCTTCGGACCTCCTTATACACTGCCTCTGGCCGACTCGGGGCCCATAAACAACACAGGACTCCTGTGATGCGGTGCAGGGCCTCAACCAATGAAAATCGCTGACTCTGGCTTTGTCTCTGTTTGGGAAATGGGCCCTCTGGGCCATGCCGACACGGAGCCGACTGTGCGTTGCTGGCGATGTCTGACCGAAATATAAGCCCTGATCGACTCAGTGAGCCCCTGATCAGCGCGCAGGGCCCTCTGGCTGACATTTGAGTGCCCGGTCTTGCAGGCCGAGGCCCCTGAATGAGACCCCCGTCTGCTTTTTAGGCCTTTCGGGCTCCCAAAAAGGGCCGTTGGTTGCAGGTTTCGAGAGGCCCGAAGGTTCCGAGAGGCCCGAAGGGCCACTCGGAACCTAAGGGGGAGGGGGGGGGGGGCAAACGCCCCTCGTCCCCCCTCCCTGCCTGCGCTTCTGCTAGGCGGCGTCGAATAGGCAGGCGATGATAAGGAAGTATCTGAAAGAAATACCCTTGGATGCTTTAGGACATCAATTCGCACATTTAGAAGGCAGCCCTGACGGTTTTTTCGCCTGCGTGTCATCGAAGCGGAGAGTAGAGCGAGGCCCATCACAAGTTCAGGTAAAAACTTTCCTGACGGTGCCGATTCCAATATGGGCACCTGTGCTGCCACTGAAAACTTCCTTCTTGCTGCAGCGGGTGACGCACGGGGGACTGAACAATGGGGATCAACGATGATTTGAGGAACCGTGAGGATCCAGAGGAGGTATGCGCTTGTTTGAATAATTTTGGTGAACCAATTGGATGTGGCAGTCGATCTAAAGGACTCGTATTTCAGAGAATCGCTCTGCTAAGCGTGTCATCCGTTGCGCTGGATTCGTCACGTGTTCAGCGTAGAGAATCACTTGTCTGGTTTGCTGTCAGGTATAGTAGGGAAAATTGTCGGTAGTATGCTGCTCCAACACGTTATGATCTTCCTCAAACACAGATTTTTCTTCTGAAGGTTTTCTGATGAATTCAAGGCGTTTTTGCCACATCCAATCTTAACAATTGTGTTATGCTACAAGCCAAGGTATCATCACATTTACCTGCAACTGACTGAGTGGAAGTGATATTGATATTTGTGCATTTGTGTAGATTTGTTACATAATGTTGCCATAAAACTGTTGCATCTATGTGAAGATGTGTACGCATAAATCCAAAGTCATTTATGTTTAGTAAATACAGTAGCTTGAATCATAATTTTATCTTAGATGCTAGCTCATCTCTGGCTAGAGTGGTGCAGAGTGATTCAATGCTAGAGCCACACAATTATTGGTTGCCATAGCTGGTGAATTCAACATGTCTGGTCTTTTTCAATAAGTAATTTGCCTCTTGCCCTCACATGCTTTTTTCATAATACAGTTTGGTGCCACAAAGCCTCAGGAGTTAAGTGAGTTGTAAGTCTGTGATGGTAATGATTGGGGTCAATGCAATTGTGTTGCCTTTTTAAACTAAGGGAGATAAGGCCTAGAAGAAAACACTGGTTGATTACTCTTGAAAATATCATGATTGGTAGGTAAGAAGTCATTTGTTGTAAAGTGAATAATTAACACCATTATGCCAGGAAAAGCACACATTTTCTAAAAATATCTAACTTTTCAAGTTTATATGTTTGTATTCACATATGATCATGCCTTATAGTGATGTCGTTTGTATCCGGGCACGTCCCTTGTTAAACTAAATGCAATAGAGGCCTAGTTCCACATTTTAAGCATAAATTTATTATTTATGTCTCTGCCATTGTTAATTCCCAGCTGTGCATGGTGCATAGAACTGTTGGCTGCTGACAGCCACTCAGGGCAAACTGTCATACAGTGTTTGTACAAAAAATGCCACTCCTCCAAAATCAGAAGTGCTAGAGACATGTCCTTTGCATCAATCCACCCGTAATTGGTGCCCCATAGCCTGCCTCAAAATGTGCACCCTAGGTGCCAATGTAAAGATATTTTTTAAGGAATTTATGCCCTGATTTAATTCATATACTGTCAAATAAAACTGCCCCCCAAAGGTTGCAGGGCTGGTGATAGCTGTTTCAAATATTCATTTGAAACTGGTGTGATTAGTGTTTGCTTTTACCACTGGTATTTTTGGTGTTTGGCTGAGATATAAGGCTGCTAAGACTGTTAGTGGACTATCCAGGCCAGGTGGGCAAAGGTACCAAACCCCTGCTTGACTTGACAATTTGCTTGCCCCAGACTAAGCCTATAATAAATGTACCCATTTGGCGAGATGGGGTTGCATTTACAAAATGACGACAGTGAGGTGCATTGAATTTTGAAAAATTGAGCATGCATTGTCTCTGGGTCTTACATAAGTAACAAAAACGCATTACATTGGATGAAAGATCCATTTGTTAAGCATAAGGTAGGAAATGGAACTATTAGAGCCAAAGCAGAGTTACACCTGTGGACCAAATTTGCAATAGTGGTCTACAATGAAATGGAAGAATGTTTATGATACTTTGTTTGGTTTCTGGACTAAAAAGTAAGCAGATCCTTCCACTTCAACTCCAATTTAAAAGCAATGAAGAATTGAAGGGTTTGAAGTTGGAACACTTTAAGCATGAAAACTGTAATACCCAAAATCCAGAGCGTGGTCAAAAAGTAGTTTCAGCCAGCTGATGTTCCATTCGTCATCTTGTGCGACTTTTGCCACAATAGTTATTCTAAGCTGTATCGACTTCAGCTGTTCAAGTTCCAATATCAAGCAAAAGAAGTACTGTTTAGCTCCTGCCAGGGCTGCTGGTGTCGTTTTTTTTGTGCCCGACCGTAGCATAGGACACAGTGTATCAGTTACAGCACACACAACTCCAGTTTTGAGGCAGTACTCGCTTGACACGATATAGGCGTCAGCAGGTCGGACTTTGATCATTGGTGGTCTCGCCTCTTGTGGGCCGGACATCTGGGTCAGACTCGGGCACACCACATGCATGTTTTGATAGCTGCAACACAACTGCGCGTGGATGTGGTGGAGTTGGTGGTTGAAAACGCAGGGGACAGTGACACAATATATTGGGGTCACGTAAATAGAACGCGTAAAACCTGTGCCTGGAGATGGTCCTCAATGCCAGTAAATTTCGTTCCATCATACATAAGTATCCCGTTTTCAACATGGTCTCCTACATTTACTCTTCAGTTGAAAAACATTGAGTTTATATTGATTTTTACCTTCCCAGACCAGGTGATAGTTTTTGCCTAGCGGAGAGAAATAAACCGCGTGACTGACTGGATGTGCTGTTAGCTCTGACCCGGCTGTGCTGTGAAGGCGGCGTGGCCCTGGCTCGGCTGTGCTGTGACGGCGGTGTGACGTGTCCGATTCAGGAGCCAGCGGAGGAGGAGGAGGAGGAGGACCTCGTAGACCCCCATGAGACCCTGCGTGAAGAGTGTCGCGGCCACGGCGACGCCACCCAGCTGAAGGCCAAGTTCGATGAGTGCGAGGAGCGGGTCAACAGCCGAAGTAAAACGGAGGAGACCTGCGTGGAAGAGCTCCTGGACTACCTCCACGCTGTTGACCATTGTGTAGGTGGCGCCCGGCCCTGGCGCTCAGCGTCATAGGCGTCGCCACAGACTTTTGACGCCACACTGTTGATATCTTGGTGCCGGGCTCAGCGGACGGCGGTAGTAGCAGATAGGGCTGATTGAATCGGCAGTTACACGACCCATGTCTGGAATGGTGTATAAAAAGTAGTTGTCTGTAAAGTGTATGCATGTGTGAGGGTTGTTGTTAGACATTCGTAATTGACCTAAACGCGGTGTCATTTTTAAAGCCATCTTTGCTTTGGTGCGTTAATCGGTTGTGAATAGGTGCTGTCCCAAATTAAGATGCGTGGAACGAGGAGTAAATGGAGCTGTCTCCTTCATCACGTGAACTAACTTTCCGTTCCGAGATATCGGTACAACATACAGTGAACAATGCCGGCATTTCAATCATCACGTCAAGAAATCGTTGGACCCTGCTTCCGGCCACTTCCATGTACTTTTCGTCGCTCGTGTCGTGTCCTTTTCCGGACAACCGCTACTCTCACCATTCATATCTTCTCTTTGTTTCAGGTCGCCGGCAAAATTTTCACCACAATGAAGTGACCTCTTCACTTGCCCTAGACAATGCTGCAAATGTTCTGTTGAGTGCGTAGTGACCGTGCCCCACAGTAATTGTACTCTGCGATTCTTTGGCTCGCAACTTGATCATAAGGCGGGTCTCATACGGATCGAAATACACTGCTTGTCTGTGTGAGAATGGATACGAATACACTGGGGAAAATCAGTGTGGACTTTGGAGCGGTGGGAGGACACAGTGCCGATTGGCACTGCTGTATTGTCCTCCGGCGTGTGCCGGTAGACGGGTACCGGGGTGGTGCCACGCTGCGCTGGATGGGTGACACATTTCGAGACCGGTACGTCCCATCTATCTAAAATGATCCCCGGCTTTAACAGTCGCGCCCGCCGTGGTAGATTCCAACGCCCTGCCAGCCGCGCTCAGTACATAAATGTCCACATTGAAAGAGATGATCACGCCGGCTTGCTTTATTCCCTGCTGCCTCCCAGCACCCACCACGCTGAGGCGCTGTTCACCGGTGGGCGCGGCCTGGCGGCAGTCAGGCGCAGCTCGGAGGTGTCGAGGCCTGGACGACTGCAGGCTATCGCCCGGCGTCGGCTTGTCGATGGCGGGACGCGCGTGAGACTGTTGGTGGCGCGCCCCCGCGGGGAGACATTGCGGTCACGGTCGAATTCGGAGCAGCGGCGCCGGGTCGGCGTATACGCCGTCTCCAGCTGGCTCACCCAAAGGCTCGACACATTCCTCTCGACTGTCGAGGCAGGTGTCAAATAAACACACGCCCAAATTGTTACCCCGTCGTTTGGCAACAGCCGCTGCCGACGCTGAGGGCACCGCGCCGCTCCGAAGCGGGCAGTTGGAACAGACGGTGCCGTGCCATGACACCGTCGCCTCTCCCCCCCCCCCCCCCCCTTCCTCCCGGGCCGACGCGAGGCGGAGCGTCTACTGGGGCGACGCCGACTTATAGACGTCCGAGTCGGCGGGCGAGCTCCAGCTGGAGGCGCCTGCCGTCTCCTGGCTCAGTAGCTCCGGCATGCCCAGCAGATCGCGACACAGGCTGGGCATGGTCAGCGCCTGCCGGCGGCAGCGGGCAGTCAGCAGGCGAGCCGACAGCTGGTGCACGGTCGGCTGTGGGCTAATCGGCCATACGCGGGCCGCGACACGTCTCCGGAGTCAGCTGGCCCGTGGCAGCTAGTGCTTCACCGTGTCCAGTGGGCTTACCCTGGACAGCTGGTGCTCTAGCGTGTCCAGTGGGCACCAAGTGTCATACATCGGGGAGGTGGCGCTGCGCCGTGACAGGGCTAGTGCTACGCTGGCGTGTCCAGCGCGCTCACCCTAGGCAGCTGGTGTTCCACAGTGTCCAGGGGCACTCCCTGCGGCAGCGTATCGGCCGCCGGGTCCAGCAGCTCGGCCAGCACGCCCGCCAGCTCCTTCTCAGACATGTGTTCACCTGAACGACACGACATCATTATCGGCCCTCGAGGCTCGGCACCCTGCCAAGTCGGGTGACATGTCACCCCGTGCGCGCGATCTTCGCCGACAGATGGTTGCCAGGCGACAGGTTCTCAGCGGCCGGTGAGGCCGAGACATCAGCCAGCGATCCGTCGGACGCAGGTGACGGACCGGCCAGCCATGTGCGCGCGGCGCGACGGTCTGACATCCACCCTTAGACTGCAGGGCGCGACGGTCCGACGCCCACCCTTGGACTGCAGGGCGCGACGGCCCGACATCCACCCCTGGACTGCAGGGCGCAACGGCCTGACACCCGCCCTTGGACTGCAGGGCGAGACGGCCCGACATCCACCCCTGGACTGCAGGGCGCGACGGCCCGACATCCACCCCTGGACTGCAGGGCGCGACGGCCCGACATCCACCCCTGGACTGCAGGGCGCAACGGCCTGACACCCACCCTTGGACTGCAGGGCGCGCAGCAGCTCCTTGCGCGAGGCGCCGCCGCTGTGCTGGTAGCGGCCGCCCTGGCCCAGCGTCTGCAGCGCCCAGGCCAGCTGGTCGGCCGACACGGCCACCACTGGCCGGTGGTTGAGGTACAGCTGGATGATGTCGTCCAGGTTAACCTCCTCCACCAGCTGGCCCGTCTCGGCGTACTCCCGGTACCGTACCTCGTTGATCATATCCTCGACCTGAGGGCCATCGCAGCCGCCGGGTGACCGGCAGACGTGCCCAGGAACACCTGGTAGCACGTTATAGTGGGCTGGCCTACAGCGACGGCTGTCGAGCCAGCATTGCGGCTCTAGGAGCATGTACGGGAACGAGCCGGAGACCGCCTGCTCACGGCCAAGTCGGAAACAGGCCAGGGTTGTTCCAACCGCTCTCGTCGGCACCAGATAAATTCGTCACGTCTGAGCGTACACCGCTTTTTAAGGTTTTAAATCAGTTAAGCTTTTAAAGCATTACACCGCGGCTTATTTTAGTACGCAGTATGCGTAGCTCACGCTGTTGACGTCTGTCAAAACTTGCCGTCCGTCAATGTCTGCCTGCTGAGCCGTCACGTCTGCGGGTGGCGGGCGCCGCCGGCGCCGGGCCGCGTCGGCCAGGTGGCGGGCGCACAGCCCGGTTGACGCACCTCCTTCTCGGCGGGGAAGAAGCCGATGGCGCGCAGGATGTCGGTGACGCAGTGCAGCGGCACGCGCTGGCTGACCTGACGCTCGTCCAGCAGGTCCTCTCCCTGACACACCAGCTCCGTGTAGTAGACCAGGTCCTCCAGCTGCTGGTAAAGTTCGCCCTCCTTCCCGCCCGGCAGCTGGTCGTAGAAGGGCGTCATGCCCGAGCCGCCCAGCAGGGACATGGTCTCCAGGGACCTGACGCACACGGGCGCAGTAGCTTGACACGTGCTCACACACTCACCACGCGCGCACACAACGTATGTGTCATTGGGGCTTTATGACGCACTCAGCTGCTGAGGCTACATCGCGTCGTCTGCCTCTCACCCTGGCAGGAAGGGCGGGCACCGCGGGGAGCCGAACCCCGTACCTCTGGTTTCCCAGACGCGTTCACCACTACACTGCCGGCACCCCGCACACAACGTCCGGCAGCCACGTGCCCGGCAAGTTTACACATTCGTCCGCATGCGTGCACACTTCACACTCCCCGCTGGGAGTAGCAGCTTCGCTGGTACTGTCACACACAGCCACTTCAACACGAACGATGTGAACTGATGTGCCCTAAAGCGTTGCGTGGGCGCCTTGATACCGGTGGGCTCGTCATCAGCAGCGCGTCCGCCCGGCAGCGCCCGTGGCTCAGCTGCCATGCGACTCACTCGGGGTACACCTCCCACATGAAGACGCAGCCGTCCTCGCCGCCCGACGTGAAGAGCCAGCGGCCGTCTGCGCTGCAGGCCATCTGCTCCACCTGCGGCCGGGTGGAGACAGTAGCTCTCTGGCGGACACTACCGACAGGCGGCCGCGGAGCGAGCACCGCCTGGGTTGTGACCGCGGGATCCGGCCTGCCGGGGCGAGTCACTGTCCGGGGCAAGCGCTGCCTGGGCCGCGACCGCGGGACCCAACCTGCCAGGGCGGGTCACTGTCCGGAGCGGGCGCCGCCCGGCCCGGACCGCGGGACCCGGCCTGCCAGGCGGGTCACTGTTCGGAGCGGGCGCCACCCGGCCCGGACCGCGGGACCCGGCCTGCCACGGCGGGTCACTGTTCGGAGCGGGCGCCGCCCGGCCCGGACCGCGGGACCCGGCCTGCCACGGCGGGTCAATGTCTGGAGTGGGCGCCGCCCAGACCAGGACCGCGGGACCTGGCCTGCCAGGGCGGGTCAGTCTGGAGTGACCGCCGCTCAGACGTAACATCACGCTGGACTCCTCACGGCACGCAGCAGCTGACCGGCATCACCGCACACAGCTATGGCCGGCTGCCGAACTGGGAGAGCACCACTCGCCCAACGCGCGTTCATACCTCAGCCAGTGCACACCGATACCGCCGAAATGGATAAGCGAAACAACTGATTCAGGCCACCAGGCGTAGCGTCAAAGCTTTGTAGCAAACACAGTTCACACGACGCCTTGCAGGTAGCGTCTGTTCTAAAGGAGCCTTCGGTGACGTTGGTAACGGCCTGGGCGAAGTTCAGCCGCTGGTGGCCGCGTCCCTCACCTTGTTAGGGTGACCGATGACGGTGGCGGCGCGGCGCGGGTTTCCATCCAGCGGCAGGATCTGCAGGCCCAGCAGGCCGCTGGTGGAGAACGCCAAGTACGAGTGCTGCTCCTGTTTGGGCCCGGCGTCACACGACAGGAATCGCGGGATCACCTGCGCCAACGCCGAGTCCGCTGTCACCGCGTGACGTCACACGCTCCCCTGCGCCCGAGCGGTCTAACGTCACACGCCCTCCCGCGCCCTAGTGGTCTGACGTCACACGCCCTCCCGCGCCCTAGCGGTCTGACGTCACACGCCCTCCCGTGCCCTAGCGGTCTGACGTCACACGCCCTCCCGCGCCCGAGCGGTCTGACGTCACACGCCCTCCCGCGCCCTAGTGGTCTGACGTCACACGCCCTTCCGCGCCCTAGTGGTCTGACGTCACACGCCCTCCCGTGCCCTAGCGGTCTGACGTCACACGCCCTCCCGCGCCCGAGCGGTCTGACGTCACACGCCCTACCGCACCCGAGCGATTTGACGCCACACGGCTTCCTGCGCCCGAACGGTCTGACGTCACACGCCCTCCCGCGCCCTAGTGGTCTGACGTCACACGCTCTCCCGCGCCCGAACGGTCTGACGTCACGAGGGCCGCCGTCGGGGTTTGCTGGCAATATTGACAGCGCGTAAAGCCGCGGACCCAGACAAAGGCATCCGGCTGTGCAAGCGTCGCCGCCCAACCGGGACGTGTGGCCCGCACTGCCACCGTCCAGCGGCCCTCCCAGGCGGAGCCGCTGACGGCCGGCGGCGGCCGGGGAGCCGGCTCAGACGTGTGTGGCCGTGCTGGGCCGTGCTGGGCCGGGCCGGGCCGTGTCGTGCCGTGCCGTGGCGGCGTGCCGTGCACACCCGGTGGTGGGCGGTGACGGCTGGCGTCGGCCTACCTTGATGCGCTCCACGGGCGAGCCGTACTGCGGGCCCAGCACCACGCGACGACACATGCGCGTGTGTGCGTTGAACAGCTTCATCTTATACTGCAACACGGTGCGGGCGGACGCGGTCACCGCAGTGAACTGACGGCTGCACCCGACACAGGCACAAAACAAAGCAAGTGAAATGTGACAACCGTGTTGCCGCATTAAACATGCTATTTTGCCGCGCGGTTATCGCATATGCTGCACATTGTCATCACCATTGGGTAATATCTCAAACACGCACGAGCCAGGCTGTGGGGATTTGCAGGGTCACACCGGACCTTAGCCCTCCTCCAGCTCAGTGGGGATGCTTTCAAATCAACAGACCACCAACTACCGCCTGGATGTGGCAAGAAGGCGCTCGAGCACATGCTTAAACACCACCACCACAATATTCACATACGCACGCATGTGCGCACGCGCATCGATACCGAGCACACACACACACACAGAGCGCGTGCAGAGTGGTGACTGGGCTACGGGCCCCTACCTGTGAGTTGGCGATGAGGATGAAGTTTTCGGCGGTGAGAGGCGGATAGAGCACCATGCAGAGCGGTATGCCCGACTGCTCCAAAGTGTCGCAGCACAGCACCACCGGATTCTCTTTGGTGCTGCAACGGAAAAAGAGGTCGGGGCTTCTCTGCCCGGCCACCACGAGCTGATGTGCTGGCTGTGGCTGCACTGGCTGCACCCACAGAATGGGTGCAGATCTTGGAGGGTCTGGGGGACATCCCTCCATGTTTTTGGAATAGGTTTTGCTGTTCCACAAAATCTGATTGTAGAATAAACGTGTAGCAGCCCTTCCGTCAAAACCGGGTGAAGGAATACGCGACCACGACGGACACAAACATGATCATGCGTCACGCTGTACACATATTGTAATATTGTCCCCAATCTGCGAAACATAGCTTCAACTTTACATCACATTCCAGTCTACCGAACCATGCAAATGCGGGACTCGTTTCTATCCGGCCGGCTACGAGCCCGTCAGAATCCGGTCTGATGGGCTGCGCGCAACGTTGGCTCCATGAAAACAGCGCTCTTACAGCTGTAGACAAAACGCAACCACGCGCTCGAGTGGGATATGCTAATAATATGCTAATAACATGGATATTCTAATAATGCTCCGTGGTTCTTGGGCTCACCGACCGATCACATTCCATACAAATCCCGCAGTGTTGGAGAGGCCCGCCAGGGACCAGCAGCTGACCAGCCGTCGGTCTCCACCGGCCACGGTCCGGTCCCACCGCCGGCTGCCGAGGCCACATCCGTCGGCTCACCTGTTGACCAGGTCGTACTCAACGAGCACCCGGTCCTCGCCGAGCGAGAGCAGACGGGGCGGCGCCGCCTCGCCCTGGCCCGGCGCGAACACCAGGTCCACGACCGGCTTGTGGTGCGCCCGGTACCGCCCCAGCGTCGCCCACTGCTGGCCGTCGGTCGTCAGACGGTACACCGACACCACCAGGTCGTCGTCCTGCCGGGCGCGCGGCGCTGGTACAGACTCTGACCAGCCGCGGCGACCGCGCGTGCCTCCGGCGCCTCTGTGACGTGTGCGCGCCAAGCATACCAACATATGCGTTTCCAAAGTCAAGAAGAGATTGATCTTCATGTGAAACACATCTCAAGTTGCAGCACCCAGTAAATCGGTACGAGATTCGCCCAGCGCATGCCTATTTCCACTTCACATGTAAACAAGGTACATCCGAACGGGCCAAGCGATCAGGTTTGCCACGGTGAGCAGCATTCATCGGTGACATGACTGTTCGAGCTCGGAGGAGCTAACAGCTAGCGGCTGCGCAGGCTGACAAGACAAGGGTACCCGTGTGGCGAGCAGGTCCGAGTCGGGTGAGAACAGGCACTGTGTGATGGCGTCTCTGCTCAGGGTGATCCTCTCGCCCTCGGGCCGCAGCGTCAGCCCGTCCAGCACGGCCAGCTCGCCGCTCTGCATGCCCACAGCCAGGTGCAGACCTGTCGCAGACACAGCCGGACACGTTAGTGGATACGGCAGGCCCGGACAGACCCACTTCAGCCACGGCGTCGCGTTCCGGCGGAGTCGGCCAGCCCGGAAACACCATCCGACGATCATGACCCCGTTCACATCGGCTAGCCGGCGCAGGTGGAGCGACGACCAAGCCACATAATGCTCAGACGAAGCGACGGTCAACTCCCACCTCACTCGGTCGTCAGATCTCACCTCACTCGGCGGTCAGATCTCACCACACTCGTCGGTCAACTCCCACCTCACTCGGTGGTCAGATTTCACCTCACTCGGCAGTCAGCCCTCACCTAAGTCGGCGGTCAGATCTCACCTCACTCGGCGGTCAGCTCTCACCTCACTCCGCAATCAGTTCTCACCTCACTCGGTGGTCAACTCCCACTTCACTCGGCGATCAGATCTCACCTCACTCGGCGGTAAGCTCTCACCTCGCTCGGCGGTCAGCTCTCACTTCACCCGGTGGTTAGATCTCACCTCACTCGGTGGCCAGCTCTAACCTCACTCGGTGGTCAGCTCTCACCTCACTCGGTGGTCAGTTTTCACCCCACTCTGGCAGCAGCTTCACTGTGGGAAGAGCGGCCTCTTTCGGTGAGTCTGACGACCAGTGGGTACCCAGACGTCGTCAGAGCCTTCAGCGACTGACCTGATGGCGAAAACGCCACCGAGTGCACCCGGTTGCTGCCTGGCAGCGTAGTCTCGTCGACCAGCTGCCTGCGCTCGTAGTCGTACACGCTCACGCTACCGTCGTAGGCGCCGATCACCACATGCGGCCTGCGGTAAAACCGCCAGCGTTTCACCGCACGGGACTGGCCAAAACGTCCCGGCCAACGCCCACGTGACGGCAGGTACAGAAACGGAAATTACAGCGAACCAAATCGTCTCTTCTCTGTGGCGATCGCATCAACCTCCGGTCCATCGTCGTCGCACAACCAAAGCGTCCACACAGGTGTGAATGGACAACGAGCCTGCACGTAAGGACCTGCACACCCAGTCCCCCGGCAGCGCGCGGCTCTCAGTGCCAACCCAGACGAGCCGGCACGTACTTGGTCATGTGAACGTCCACGGCGCGCACGGTGACGACGGGGAACTGCGCGATCTTGCTGCAGCTCGAGGAGTGGATGTGCACCAGGCCGCAGAAGCCGTCCGTCGTTGTCACCACGATGTCGCGAGCGATGAACTCGGCCGCCTCCAGACTGCAGTCGGCCGGGTACGGTCCCGACTCTCCCTGCCGGCCGCACGTCCAGTGGTCACCTGTACCGCAGCGGTACCGCGCTCACTTGACAATCGGCCGCCTCCAGACTGCAGTCGGCCGGGTACGGTCCCGACTCTCCCTGCCCGCCGCACGTCCAGTGGTCACCTGTACCGCAGCGGTACCGCGCTCACTTGACAATCGGCCGCCTCCAGGCTGCAGGCGGCCGGGTACGGTCCCGACTCTCCCTGCCCGCCGCACGTCCAGTGGTCACCTGTACCGCAGCGGTACCGCGCTCACTTGACAATCGGCCGCCTCCAGGCTGCAGGCGGCCGGGTACGGTCCCGACTCTCCCTGCCCGCCGCACGTCCAGTGGTCACCTGTACCGCAGCGGTACCGCGCTCACTTGACAATCGGCCGCCTCCAGGCTGCAGGCGGCCGGGTACGGTCCCGACTCTCCCTGCCCGCCGCACGTCCAGTGGTCACCTGTACCGCAGCGGTACCGCGCTCACTTGACAATCGGTCGGCGACAAGCACTAGCCCTACAACAGCACAGTGGTGACGGCACTGGTCCTTGAGTAGTGCAGCAGGGACGGGGAGTTGCCCTACAATACAAGAGCACGGTGGTGACAGGCAGTGTTGCAATATCTACGTGGGTGTCGGGGAAGTCAATACTTGTTCCTGCTTTCGCGCTCCCCGCCTGGTGTTCACTGACTGTTGCTTCTACCCTCGTTCAGGGTCGGCCAACCAGCAGCAAGTCGGGCGGCGCTGAGCCCAGCATCCGATCAAATGGCAGATCAGTCATATAGGTCAGATGTCAGGGTGCGGGGTCACGTACAACAGTTAGCAGCCAACGAGCTGTTGTGCGTGTGGAGGCCGCTGGGAAGTCAACATTCTGGTAGCACGGATGGATCTTCACATCTCTCACTCCCAAAACGGATGAATTTCGCACAGCTAGTGACAGAGCTTGTTCCGCTGCAGTCCAGTGATGACGGGGACTGGTCCCGCCGCACTGGTGCGGACTGTGACTCGCTCGGCAGCCGTACCGCGCTGATGGGCGGGGTACGCGCACCCCACGGCGCCCCGGGCTCGCCAGCGTCAGCGACTGACCGCCGGGCCGCCGGTGTCGAGCGTGGCGCGCGAGGCGGCGCTGCTGCTGCTGCTGTCGCCGCCGCCGTCGGCCGAGTGGACCGGCTTGCGGCGGGCGCCGCGTGGCGCCGTCAGGTGAAACGACAGGCACCGCACGGCCGCCAGCTCGAAGTCTTGGTACCACTGCATCAGCCGCAGCTGCTCGTCCAGGAAGCGGATCTGGCCGTCGGCCGTGCCCGCGCAGATGGCGCTGAGGGCGGGCCGGCAGCCGGTCATATTGGGCTCGCAGGTCGGCCAAGATACATGCAAGGCGCTCAAAGAAGTGCAACAAAAACATCCACCGCTCGTCAACGCGCTGATCACCACGATATCTGGCCACAGTCAGTCCAGGCCCAGTGATGGCAGTCTGGCCACGGCCTGGCCGAGCCACAGCCGGATCAGACGAGTTTACGTCACCGTCCCACCTGCAGACCCTGTGTCCGCTGGCCGAGCCACAGCCGGGGCGGACGCGCTCACATCATCATCCCCCCCCCCCCCCCCCCTGCAGACCCTGTGTCTGCTGGCCGAGCCACAGCCGGGTCAGACGCGCTCACATCCTCATCCCCCCCCCCCCCCCTGCAGACCCTGTGTCCGCTGGCCGAGCGGGCGCTGATCACAGCTCAGCCCGGCTGGCTGCCACCCACCCGTCCACGATGCGCAGGCAGGTGATGGGGGACTCGTTGATCTTGAGCACCTTGCGCGCCTCCTTCCTGACGGAGGGCGTCAGTCGCTCGGGGTCGCAGGGCGCCGACGGCCGACGGTCACTCCACAGGATCACATAACCTGCGGGCACGGCGCCGGTCAGGCGGTGCCAGCTACTCCACGAGATCGCTGGTCTACGGTCACAGGACTGGGCCACATGGTGGCAGCGACTTCATAAGATCATCGTTTGCAAGAGCTCAAGGTCTGGAAGATCGGACAGATAATGTCCTTGAGGGCCATACAGAAATGGTCAGTGAGAGCCGGGTTTCAAATAGGTCCTGTCTAAAGGGAGACTGTGGGTTAGAGCGAGAGTGAGAGTAAGAGGGAGACGGAGAGGGAGAGGGAGAGAGAGAAGGATAGAGAGAGGGAGAGGGAGAGGGAGAGAGAGAAGGAGAAGGAGAAGGAGAAGGAGAGGGAGAGAGGAGGGGGAGGGAAGGGGGAGGGAGAGAGAGAGAGACAGGGACAGGGAGAGGAAAAGACAGCAAGAGAGTGAGAAACCGCGGAAGACTGAGACGGCGAGAGAATGAGAGGCAGCGAGAGAGTGAGAGACAGCGAGAGAGTGAAAGGTAGCGAGCGTCTGAGAGACAGCGAGAGAGTGAGAGACAGCGAGCAAGAGACAGCGAGAGAGTGAGAGACAGCGAGAGAGTGAGAGACAGCGAGAGCGAGAGACAGCAAGAGAGTGAGAGACAGCGAGGGAGTGAGAGACAGCGAGAGTGAAAGAAAGCGAGCGTCTGAGAGGCAGCGAGGGAGTGGAAGATAGCGAGCGTGTGAGAGACAGCGAGATAGTGAGAGACAGCGAGAGCGAGAGACAGCGAGAGCGAGAGACAGCGAGAGCGAGAGACAGCGAGAGCGAGAGACAGCAAGAGAGTGAGAGGCAGCGAGAACGTGTGACGGTGGGGCGAGCGTTTGAGAGAGGGGAAGGAAAAGAGGGTGAGAGGTAGGGAGGGAGTGAGGGACATCCGCGCCACTACCTTTGGAGGTGCCCGTGACGGCCGAGTACGGCTCTTCCGTCGAGAAGGCCGTCTGCGAGAAGTTACCCGGGTTGCACTTGAACTCCGCCGAGTATCGATTCTGCAGCTGCGGGCAGTGGTGCTCCAGCGGCCCGTCCGTCTGCAAAGGAGCGGGCACTGTACGCACATCCAACGGTCGGGGAGGACACGCTACAAGCGCAGTGCTGGTAATCCGTACGCCGCCGAGGCAAGGGCGGCACCAGACGCGCGCCACCACACTCCGCTGTGACCCCCGGACAGCACCGGCGCACCGCCGTCGACGAGCGTGCCCATCAGCAACGACAGCTGACTCCGCTGTCAGGGCGACGTGGCGCGACAGGGGCTTTCCTCCGACTTCTTAGCATTATAGAAAGAATGAGTTTCAGCTCAAGCAAAAATTATACTAAAAAGAACGCAGGTGCATTGCTGGGTATCACATTTGTAACTCACCGACTAACGCATCCACAACTTACACATGGGTCCCATTACGTATTACAAGTCGAAGGAAGCAAGAACCAGTGTCCCAGGATTCAGTCGGGCTCATTATTCTAGCATTCGTAATTGACCATCACAAAATATGGATAAGGCACGCACTGGATTCTTAACTACACGCGCCGTGAATACAGCCCAGACTCTGCCTCAGGTCCGGCCCAGAACCGTGCCTGCAGTCGACACTCCTCGACACGCCCCCCTCCGTCCGAAGGCTCACCATCTGGAAGAAGATGACGCGGCAAGCGGCCGTAGTGACGACCACGGCTGGCTCCCACTGGCTGACAGCCAGATGCTCGTGGAAGCCGTGACCGACACCGAACTGGTGCAGTACTGGAACGGCACCAGCGGTCGGACGGTGCGGGTACAGCGCCGTCTCCCACAGACACACGCCATCGCGGATAGCGCGGCACGCGACCGTCTCCACTCCACGGAGAAGACACTGGTACCAAGGGATACTCAAACACAATGGTGGTAAAGCCTCGAACGAGTAACGAAACAAGGAGCACTCGGTTAGCTGCGACTAGTCGCATTATACTCGCTCATATTGGGGTATCATCTAGAAACACACACACACACACGCACACGCACACGCACACGCACACGCAATGTGTTGCGCGTCCCGGTGAGACTTATTCAACCATTACTAAATTCATGAATTTAATATTATTGAAAGGATTAGAACATGCTCCCCCTCACAATCAAATGAACGGGTGTACCACCAGGAGCAGGAAACAAAACGGGCTGGGCATAGATTATAAAATGGAACATTTGTAGTCTAGAAGTAACTGGGTTGGATTTTTGAATGCCAGGTGGGCGAAACTTGAGCCAGTCCGATTCGGTTGTACAGGAATTAAAAATTACGAACGTGAACAGCCTGCAAATTGAGGTCGCCAGATCTCAAGCCGTTGCATTACTCAAGAAATACAGTCCTATCAAAGAACCGTTGAACTTGTATGAGTTAACTAATCCGCAACATAGGCACAATAAAGCCTGGTCTTACGTCTGGCCTACGAATGAGTCCCAAGCGGCCTAACCTTTTGGCATGAACTGATCAGTGGTTGATTCCCCGAGCGTACCGAGCTTTAGGCGCGTCATAGTCCACATACAGCCCCAGGCGAGCCGCCACTAGGAACGGCCTAGCCTGAAGCCCAGCCGAGCAACCCTACCCTCCAACTACAGCTGGCCTTAAGTCAGCCCAGAGGATCCCGCCTTTTAGCCCGGGCTCGTCGGCAGTCCTGTGCCGCGCGTACCTAGCGCACGGCACGAGTTTGTTTGCAGTCGGGCGTTCCGAGTGCGCCCGCGTATCTCGGCGCTGCCTACCCGAACATGCCGGCTAGCCCTGGTTCGTGCTCCGGCCCCGGCGCGTGCCTACCTTTCGGCTCGGCATGGTCGATGGTCCAATCCCAGACGAGCAGCTGCTGGCGGGCGCGGACCGGCGCCGAGCCGTCGGCGCCACTGACGCTGCCCCACAGGCCGAACACGTAGCGGGCGTCGCAGGAGAAGGCCAGTGACAGCGGGCCCGAGAACGCCGCCTCCGGGAAGTGCATCTGCAGCGGCGCTCTGCGGCACACGCCCGGCGGCTGAGCGCGCCGCACCGTGGCCGCCGACAGAATGTGGAGCTCAGTGCGGCACGGTGCAGCCCGAGCAGAGTAGGCATCGCGCAAGGGCGGCCGGGCGGCCCGCCGCGTCCCAGCGGCGAGCTTCTGCCGAACCAGTCCAGGCGGGAGACATGCGAGAGCTGCATTCCTAATAACGCCCGTGACCGACAGTGTGACAGAAGGCAGCATCCTTTTGTAACAAGCATCGTCCATCAGAATTACGTCGCTTATTAACATGACTGGGACGTCGCAGCGGTCATCACTAAGCGTCGGTTATCAATGTCAGTACTCTCTCGGCTTTCTACGGTCTACAAAAGCTAGGCCTGTACGTCTGTTACGGCCCTGGACGACAGTCCTCGCTCGTCTTCTGGCGACCATGGACTAAGTCCCAGGCCGTTCACTGCTGATCGCCGCGCACAGCCGGCGGTCCGTCCGAGTACAGACATGAACAACAGGCAGCGCCTTACGTGATCTCAGTGACATGTTTTCGGCCGGGCGTCGCGTCGCTTCCTTACGGATCCCGAACCGAACACCGCCCGGTCGAACGGCGCGCTGTTTCACCGGCCGCCGCGTCCCACACCATCTAACCCGGCCGCCGCGTCCCACACCATCTAACCCGGCCGCCGCGTCCCACACCATCTCACTGGCCGCCGCGTCCCACAAAATTTTCCGGACGTCGTGTCTCACACCACCTCACCCGACCGCTGCGTACCACACCAACGCACCGGCCGCTGCGTCCCATACCACCTCACCAGGCCGCTGCGTCCTACACCATCTCACCGGCCGCTGCGTCCCACACCATCTCACCTGGTCGCCGCGTCCCACAAAGTTTTCTGGACGTCGTGTCTCACACCACCTCACCCGACCGCTGCGTCCCACACCAACGCACCGGCCGCTGCGTCCCATACCACCTCACCAGGCCGCTGCGTCCTACACCATCTCACCGGCCGCTGCGTCCCACACCATCTCACCCGGCCGCTGCGTCCCATACAATGAGCGCATTGTCCGGTCCGATGTCGCCAGTGGCGATCCAGCGGCCGTTCGGCGAGGCGGCCAGGCCGCACACGCAGTTACGCTGAGGGGGAGAGAGAGAGAGATGGGGCCGACAGCTCGGTCAGCGGTCCGGAGGTGGGGGCGAGGGTAGGTTGGCTGAACCGAGCCGATCAGAAGGCTCTGGCAATCGCAACTACAACCATACGGGACAATACACGCCCGCATTACCAGGCTCGTTGCGTTCGGAATGGCGAAGATCTCAGTCTCAGGCCGCAGATGCCGTCTGTAGTGTTCCGAGCAGTCGAAATCTTAGTGAGGCTTGGTTCACAGCCTGTTTGCTCTTGTTTTGCTTTTTTGTTGTTGTTTAACACAACGCGTCCACAGAGGGAAGCCCATCACATTTGGAAACAATAGACAAAAAATTCGCCAATAACGGACTACTTGACTTTCACTGTTGCACGGGCGTATGCCGGAGCAACCAAGAAAATGTTCTTACATGTCCCTGAAGAATACGCTGGGTGTTGTTCTCGAAATCGTAGATGACTGCGCTTTGCGCCGCACCATACACAATGCACTTGCTCCTCTCGTTGCTGAGGCTAAGGACCGGGGCCCTACACGATCCACCAAAGGCCCATCTTGTCGTCTGGAAACAACCGGCACGGTAGGCAAACAGTCAGGCAGACCCCCAGCCCACGTCCCACCAACCAACACACTCGCACCACGGCCTCGCATGACGCGTCGCGCGCGATGGTCTCTTTGGAACGACACACAGGCGCTGCGATACGAGACGCCCTACCGGACGGGCTGGCGTCTGGTGTCGAGGCAGCCACTCACCAGCGGTCGCGAGGCGGGCAGGTCAGCGTCCTCAGAGGCCGCCTTGTACCGCTCCACGCGGTAGGAGCGCTCCTCGGACGCGTCTATCGGCACCACTGGCGGCTCGACCGCCGGCTGGCTCTCCTCCGTCACGTCCGGCACTGACTTCTGCAGGTTGTCGATCAGCTCCTCCAGCAGGATCTCGGACTCGGTGACGCGGTAGTCGGCGTGCGTGTCAGTCACGGGCGCGCACTCGTCTGCATGCCAGATCTGCGAGAGCACCGAGCGCACGGCCGGGCTGGCCCAGATTTCGCTCAGGATGCTACGCACGTGCTCATCGTTGTCGGACGACCAGATTTGGCTGAGCACACTGCGAATGTCCACCTTGTGCACGGGCTCCTTCCAGATCTCGGAGAGGACGGAGCGCAGCTTCGGCGAGCCCCAGATCTCTGACAGCACCGACTGGACCGCCGGACTGGCCCAGATCTCGCTGAGGATGCTGTGCGGCGGCGGCTCGTCGTTGTCGGTGGACCAGATTTGACTCAGAATGCTGCGGATGTCGACCATCTCCACCGGAGTTGACCAAATCTCGCTGAGGATCGAACGCAGCGCGTCCGAGCCCCAGATCTCAGACAGGACCGAGCGCATGGCCGGTGTGCTCCAGATCTCACTGAGTATGCTCATGATCCGCTGTTTGTTGTCCTCGGACCAGATCTGGCTCAGCACGCTGCGAATGTCAACGTGCACGGGCGGCTCCGCCCAGATCTCACTCAGCACGCTCTTGGGCTCCACCTTCTCCACGGCGTCCTCCCAGATCTCCGAGAGCACGGCGCGCATGGCTGGCGACGCCCAGATCTCGCTCAGCAGGCTGTGGAACACAGTCTCGTCCCGCGCCCAGATCTGACTGAGAATGCTGCGCACATCGTAGAACTGCACCGACTCCCGCCAGATACGCTCCAGCAGCGTCGGCTCGACCGGCGGCTCGGGCAGGCCCATCATGGCGCGCGCCTCCGAGTCGGTGGCCTGCAGCAGCGCGGTTGGCACGTGCACCAGCTGCACCTTCCCCGAGAAGGCTTTCAGCAGCGACTCGGCTCCTAGCTCCGGCAGGCTTTCTTGCAAGGTGCTCGCTGCCAAGCTACGCGCGGCTTCGGCGACGCCCAGAAGGGACGAGCCAGATTTCTGGACATTGCCGCTAGCTGCTGGGAGCAACTTCCGAGAGGACGTGTCCGCCTTTAGTGTACCACTACTGACTGTCGAATCCACGTTCAGCGGTAACGAATCGGTACTTAACACCCCACCACTGCCTGCCGAGTAGACGCTCAGAGGGGATGACTCAGCCTTTAGTGAACCACCGCCGGCCGCCGAGTCCGCGTTTGGAGGAGACGAGTCATTTGGTCCCTCGCCGCTGGTCGCCGAGTCCGCGTTTGGAGGAGACGACCCATCATTTGGTCCCTCGCCGCTGGTCGCCAAGTCCGCGTTTGGAGGAGACGAGTCATCATTTGGTCCCTCGCCACTGGCCGCTGAGTCGACGTTCGGAGGAGACGAATCAGCCTTAAGTGCACCGCCGCTGGCCGCCAACGGTAGGTCACCTGCGCCGGCCGCCGGTTCCTCGGCCGGCGCGTCGACAGCGGGCCCGCTGTGCGCCGACAGATGGGCCTTCAGCGAAGCGCTTGACTCAGGACCATCGCGGTCGGCGGCTGCTGGCACTCCGGCGTGCTCCAAAGGACTCTCCACCACCTCGGACGCCGTCTGTATCACGCCCGTCTCCAGCTGGACTGACTCGACTGAGCTATACGAGCCGGGTGAGTCCGGCGGCGTCCGCGTCACGCCCAGCTCCACCTCATCCGAGACGGTGGCGTCGATGGTTGGCTCCACGTAGATAACGTCGGAGGGCGAGGAGGCCGGCTGCGGCGGCGCGTCCGGCTGCTCCGAGTCCGGCCCGCCCAGGTCAGCAGCTGGAGCCAGGTGGGCATGGTCGGACGGACCTTCAACCCGCTCTGATGCTGTGTCCAGCCGCGCGCCACTGGCTGAGGAGTCATTCTGACGAAACACAAAACAGACGCAATTATACAGTTCTAGGACACTCATAACGCAAGCATCTGTCAATAACAACATGTCAACATTGGAAAATATAAGCTTTGTGATCAGTTACCAGTCAGTTCTGGCAAGCTTTCAATGAACCTCCAAATGCTCAAATGGAAGCAGCACAAACGTTTCGGACGGGCCTGGCACAGACGATTGAGGCAGGGTAATTGACTGAAGCTGCATGCGATTGTTGTAGCATTACAGCCGGACACGCATGCAAACCATGCGAATGAACAACCGCACAATGACGCACCGTTTCCAGCGCACTGTTCGGCTCCTGGTCGTCATCCATACTTGAACACACGATGGCTTAGGCACCAATGCAGTGTCTTGTTACACAAAAAACGTCGCGGCAAAAATTATGTTGAGCTGTTCTGGACCCAGCTCATCATCATGCAATGAACGTAATGACATAAAATATACTATAAACAGAATCAACGTAAGAGCGTTTGACAAATTTGGTGTGTTAAAAACTCAAAGTGACAAGCCTTCACAAAACATTATAGGTCAAGGGTGATCTGTGCCAAAAACGATGCACGACTCCGTCCATGAATGCGAGTTGCTTATAATCACCAACGCGTTGCTAAGCGCGTTGCTATGCGTTGTCAATAGGGATGTTATTAATGTGTGCAAAGGGAGAAGTTAGAATGTCTGGGGTACTGTATATGTATATTAAAAGTGAAACCTTCATAAGCCTTATTCCTTATTCATTCAACAAAATTTTTCCCACGGAATACATTTTCAGAAATATCTTACATTCTCTCTGCCAGACTTATTGCGTTCGCTTTCAGCATATCTGAGCAGAAATTTGCATCACGTTCGCGGGCCACGTTTGCGTATGTCAGCTTATCCCGTTGTTGATTGCTTCTGAGCCTCGCCCTGCGAACGTAGCTGATTCGTACCTGCCGTCAAAACGTGCTACATACCCAGCGCTTTACAGACAAATATAACCAGCATTGCAGACCGAAAAGATCACGAAGAAGTTGGGGTTGTGGTGAGGGTGGTGTTGGTCTGGGTGGCAACCTGGGCTGTAATCCTGATCATCATTTGTAACACGACATTGGATCTGATGATCGTCATGTTTTAATTTGGAGCATGGGAACTCAGTTATAGTTCCACCCATTCTGTCCACCGAACCGCGTGGCGTTGGCAGCCAAACAAGTACGGTGTTCCGGTGATAAGTTGGCAGTCACCTACAGGGTCATCAGAACAAGAAGGTCAGAAGGAGGTTAGGCTAGTTCAGTCAGCGAAAGTAAGACAGTATAATCATTATTATGAAGGTGAACTTCATCATATGCCATTTTTACCAGTATAATGAGCTATGATCTAAGCTGACGGCTTATGCTGAGACTAAACTGATAGCTTATGCTATTCAAAATTCAAGTTGTATTTACCCAATGCCACATTGACCTCTACACACAGCAGAAATTGTTTGACTCATTAGGGCCCATTTCACATTTAAAGGGTTATCAGATAAACCAAGTGTTTCAGATATTTGGAGTATAATGTACATATCCATCACTTTGCACATGTGAAGCAATACCTAAAACATAATTTGGATGGTGAACAGTTTTGTTTGTAAACATTTCAACACAGAAAGAACTCCATCATAGCCTGCTCATACCATCTTCCGCATGTGAACACAAATTACTGTGTGTGTCATCAAGCAACTTTGTGGATTATGAGTGTACAAGTTCTGTTAAAAAATGCTCCCAATGTAAAGCCATCTGGAAAAAATATTTGGAACACCATTACAAAATGCAACCAAAAATTAACCAAGTAGGCTGCTGGTAACAGTTCAGACAGAATACATTTTTCCATGGGGGCCAGATTTGTATGCCAAATTTGGGTTATGGAAAGGGTTCCTATGCCAGTAAGCCAATCATAACAACTTAATCAAATTCATTTGTAGATAAATTTCTTGTGATAGTCAGAGTGTTTTGTTAATGCTGCTCAGACTAATCTTGTTTTCAGAAAAAAAACAACCATTGCTAATGTTCTGCCACAAAAGACATTTGGCTCTGTTTGTGCCTGACTGACTGCTGTGCATGTATGGCAGATGAACACATCTGGGACTTTAAATATTTCATTCTTTTTGTATGCCCAGGTACAGAAATTGAATTTCATTGGTGCCAGATATCACTTTAACATGGAATGTATCAATGACATTGATTTTAGTGATAGAGCAGCCAAACATGGCCTTATCTATTATGTCCTTTGAATAAAGTTGTGTTATGTCTTAGGGGCTGTCTCTGATTGGCTTGGTGCTTGAGCTTAAGAAATGTTGATCCATATTTTCCTTGAACAACATGTACAAGCACATCACAACAAAGCTATCAGGGTTATGCTTCAAACTTATCATCACATTATTGTGTGCCCTATAATGTGCTGTTGTTGGCAGATAAAACAGCATGTTGCATTTTTTCCTAATAGGACATATGGCCCTAGCAGTGTTATATGGAAAAAGTTGACCCCAGATCTGATGTGATGTTACCAACCTGACAGCAGCACATTAGGCTGTGCCATGTCTAGTGAATGGTGAGAATTACATATTCTTTGGAGGCTAGATTTTGTATGTAGAAGGTGTGTGGGCTTTGTGAGAGATGTATTTGTAATGTTCATGAAATGCGGTTGACTTTGAACATAGTGTTTAACTGAGCTTAGGATGCCATGGGATGGTCATACCAAAAGGCTTCAGGGTGAGTGCCCTCTTTGTTGTGACTTATAATGGCTGGAACCTATTCATGCTGTGCACTATTCACTCAGCTCAAACCACTGAGAGTCTGGCTATTGTGCCAAGAAAAATGTACAGCACAGCACCACCAACATGTCAAAAAATGTTACATCATCACTGGTTTCATCATTCAAGATCACTGGTTTTATTGCTTGGGGTGACTGGTGAGATGACTTGAAGTGACTGTAAGATCACCTCATCACAATTTGTGATGTGGGCTGGGCATGTTCCATGCAGCTTGCTGCATCACCAGGCGCCGGCCGCCACCGCCCACTAACGTCCGTCTCCGGCCGCAGGGGGCGCAGCCCGGCGCCGCTCGGTAGTGGGTCAGTTGCCGGCCGCCGGCCATCCACTAACGTCCGTCTCCGGCCGCAGGGGGCGCAGCCCGGCGCCGCTCGGTAGTGGGTCAGGTGCCGGCCGCCACCGCCCACTAACGTCCGTCTCCGGCCGCAGGGGGCGCAGCCCGGCGCCGCTCGGTAGTGGGTCAGGCACCGGCCGCCACCGCCCACTAACGTCCGTCTCCGGCCGCAGGGGGCGCAGCCCGGCGCCGCTCGGTAGTGGGTCGGGTGCCGGTCGCCGGCCATCCACTAACGTCCGTCTCCGGCCGCAGGGGGCGCAGCCCGGCGCCACTCGGTAGTGGGTCAGGCACCGACCGCCACCGCCCACTAACGTCCGTCTCCGGCCGCAGGGGGCGCAGCCCGGCGCCGCTCGGTAGTGGGTCAGGTGCCGGCCGCCGGCCATCCACTGACGTCCGTCTCCGGCCGCAGGGGACGCAGCTCGGCGTCGCTCGGTAGTGGGTCGGGTGCCGGCCGCCGGCCATCCACTGACGTCCGTCTCCGGCCGCAGGGGACGCAGCTCGGCGTCGCTCGGTAGTGGGTCAGGTGCCGGCCGCTGGCCATCCACTAACGTCCGTCTCCGGCCGCAGGGGGCGCAGCCCGGCGCCGCTCGGTAGTGGGTCAGGTGCCGGCCGCCGGCCATCCACTAACGTCCGTCTCCGGCCGCAGGGGGCGCAGCCCGGCGCCGCTCGGTAGTGGTTCGGGTGCCGGCCGCCGGCCATCCACTAACGTCCGTCTCCGGCCGCAGGGGGCGCAGCCCGGCGCCGCTCGGTAGTGGGTCAGGTGCCGGCCGCCACCGCCCACTAACGTCCGTCTCCGGCCGCAGGGGGCGCAGCTCGGCGTCGCTCGGTAATGGGTCAGGTGCCGGCCGCCGGCCATCCACTGACGTCCGTCTCCGGCCGCAGGGGGCGCAGCTCGGCGCCGCTCGGTAGTGAGTCGGGTGCCGGCCGCCATGCTGGACCTGCTGTCCTCGGCCACGGCCCTGGTGGCGCTCGGCTTCACCTTCTACCTGGTGAGCGCTCAGTGGAGCGCTCGCCGCCGCCAGCGGCAGCTGGCGCGCTGCCGGCGCGCCATGATCGTGTGCGCCCACCCCGACGACGAGTGCATGTTCTTCGGGCCAGCCGTGGTGGGCCTGCTGCGCGAGCCCGCCTGCGTCGTCTACCTGCTCTGTCTCTCGACAGGTGAGCACGTGCTTGCTGTCGGTTTTGTGGAATGATGGTAAGTGCGAAAGTTTTGGTGCAGCCATTGTCTTTGTTTTTTTGTGTTTAATTCGTGGTTGTTTGTCTTTCTGTATGCATTTTTGTTTGCTTACCCAAGTCTGACATGTAGTAATCCTGTTGCCTCCCTTACAGGATGTGTTTTAGAACCGTTTGATTACTGGGTGTTAAAAAGCTGACCGCTCCCGCGACTGTTGTTCAGGTGACCACGAAGGGTTGGGGAGAGTGCGCAAGGAGGAACTGTACAGGAGCTGCAGCGTTCTGGGAATCAAGCGAGAGAACATCATACTACTGAGGTAAGCATACCGAGGTTTGTAGACGGCTTTCGCCAACAACCTATGGTGTGGGCAAGAGATCAGGCTCGGTACAACCGATTGGCGTCGCACTCCTACATATCCATTCACTCATTGCTTAATGGCGGGTTTGGATGAGCTGCCATGCGGGCGCGTCTGCGTGCGTCGGCATTGCTAATAGATGTTTGAATGCATGTGCTGTTACATAAGCGAAAAATGGAGGCATATATAAGTGTTAGGGAGTAACTGTGTTTTTTAAAATAAAAACTGACGGCTGCGTCACCAGGATTGGCGGCATGTGTTAACAGCCTTCATTACAGCAACTGAAGTGGCATTCCAGTTAATTTTTGTACAGCTCCAGCCTGGGCGCGATCCCTGGATCTGTACAGCTCCAGCCCGGGCGCGATCCCGGGAGTCGTGTCACCAAATTGTCCGGTCCATCCTTCCCCTGCCAACCAATGACCGCGTCTCCAGCGTGTCTGGTGCGTTCTCTCCATGGCCGCGTCACTGGCGTGTCTGTGCGTTCTCCCCATGGCCACCTCACCAACGGCGTGTCCGGTGCGTGCTCTCCATGTCCGCGTCACCAGCGGGTCCGGTCGGTCACTCCAACAGACACTCCCGGCTGCCGGACAACCCGCAGCGGATGTGGAATGACGCCCTGTTGGCCGACATTGTGCTGCACCACATCAGCTCGCTCGACATCGACACGGTGGTGTCATTTGACCACCAGGGCGTCAGCTATCACCGCAACCACCGCAGCATCTTCTACGGCTTGGTGCGCATGGTTAGCCAGGAGCTGCTGCCGACCGGTGAGTGGCCCTGGGGTCTGGGAGGGTTCGGTGTCGACCTTGGGGCACCGGGAGCCTTTCACGTCGGCTGCGGGTCGCAGGGGGTCGTTTCTCACATTTTTGGCTCACGGGGAGGATCGTGTGCCGCCTGTAGTTCCGCCGCGCGGGACTGGTGTCAGCCGGAGGTGGAGTTGGGTGGCGGCTCTCTGGCTGCGGCTGGGCAGCGCGAGTCAGATTTGAGAAAGAATGGTGTGATTTCTGGTCCCCGCAGACTCACCGTATGGATGGACTGACGATTATCACCGCGAGTTGGCTTGTTGAAATAGTGTGTCGCTCAGCCGAGAGTCTGTCTGGCTCACCACGCTCTGTGTTGTACCCTGCCTGGCTTACCACGCTTTGTGTTGTACCCTGCCGCAGACTGTTCGGTGTACTTTGTGCCGACCGTGAACCGCGTGCGCAAGTACAGTAGCTTTATGGACGTGCCGATCACCTACCTGGCCAACGACATCGTGTTCCTGGCCTCGCTGGACGAGTGGAAGCGGATCCAGGTGAGATCCTGTCGCGCGCCGCCGGTCGCAGGCGCGCGGCGGCCGGCCGCTGCTGCTGGCCACACCGGGCTGGGGGAGATCCTGTTGCATGCCGCCGGTCGCAGGCGCGCGGCGGCCGGCCGCTGCTGCTGACTACACCGGGCCGGGTTTGTACGGAGGTCCCTTGATGAGTGAAGCTGTGTTTTAGGAAGGCAACGCGAGGGGTTGTTGCAATGCTGGGACTCGTTCTTTGTGGAGTCCCAACCACAGAACCTCGTTTCTCGGGGCTTTGTGGCTCGCTCGAATGTCCAATACTGTCATAACGATCGACCTCAGCTTTACATCCAAGACACCCATTTATACGCTATATTGCCCCCCCCCCCCCTCCCCGCCGTCGTCTGGGGTACCTGACTCGTGCTAGGACTGGCCTCTGTTGTGGTCTTGTGGCCACACACCGCACGCTGTAGAGTGGTGCCCCCTATGCCGCCGCCGCCGTGTGGGCGCGCCGTGGTCCGCCATGTTGTCTCGGCTCTCTCGGCCGCCGTCTACCACCCGCTGCCCGCCTTCGACAGCACGCCATGGCCCAGCACCGCAGCCAGCTGGTGTGGTTCCGGCTGCTCTACATGATGTTCAGTCGGTATGTGTTCATCAACACGTTGGTGCAGCTACGGGCGCCGCCGCCACCGACGACGACAACAACGACGACACCGTCGTCAGAGGGCTCGGACGGCGCCGCCGACGCCACAGACGCCGGCGACGAGAGCTCCACCGGCGAGTTTCTGTCGCCGCCCGAGTCGCCCGTGCCGCCCGAGGACACCGAAGGCCACGAGCCGGTCACGTGATGGGCCGAGCCGACCGGGCCGGCAGGAGCCGTATAGCGGGTCGGGCCGCGCGAGGCTGAAGCGTCCCATACGACCGCTCGTACAAGCGACGGTCCGTGCCATCAGCCGAAGGCGATTGCTCTGACTAGTAGGCAGGACTGGTCGGGATGGCCTGTTCGAGCATGGCGCGATGAAGAAGACAATTTAGAGCTGGTCGTGTGTGATGTGGGAATAATTAAAGCCTCAGGTAGGTTTGGGTGTGTGGCTGAGCGTGATTGGCGCACCGTCCGTCTGGGGTGAGGGCGTGTCTTTCGCCGTCGAAAGCAGAGGACGCGCCGACCTGTAATTTTCTAGGAAATAAGGTCTTTCTTACGTTCGATCATCGACGTCTGTGCTTGTTGTTACAGTCCTTATTTAACAGTTTATGGCCCGCGAGGTGCACAAGCCGACTGCAACTCGAGAACGGGCGCAGCATTGTGGTGCCATATAGCTTTCGTGATGAGCAGGTCCTGTGAATAGCGTTCGGACGGGTGAGGGATGATTCAACTGACGGGTATCAATAATTCCGATCGTTAACGCTGAGAAATCCGTGCACGCAGCCCGTGGCTGTCATCCATGTACAAAATGTAGCCAGAAATGCAGGCGGAAGTCGCACCACTCCACGGGAACAGGCATTGTTGGGCTCTCTCGTTGTGTTGGTATTCTCAACTGCGTTGCTAGGAAATTGTTGGCGCCTGATCTTTAGCCGCGGAAGCCCGCTTTGACCGGTGGACGCGCTCTGCAAAAACACAAACTTTTTATATAATTGTTTGTTTGACAGGAAACTCCTGCACTGATTTATGGTCATTTAACGATGCCATACCCTATCAGACTGGTAGACTGTCGCCGTTCTCACATTGCAGACAGCATGCATGTTTGAGCATATCCCCAATAGCATCGACGTAAGCGCAGTAGTTGTGTACCACGTGCTGAACCAATGTGTGCCTGCGTGAGTTCGTAGTCGCGTCCCAATTTTGCAGTCCCGTTCCTCGCCCTTTCGCCGCCTGCTGCTGTCGCGTGCTGCTGGCGTCGGTACGTCCTGCGCTCACCCCTGTCCGGTGGGCGGCGGCCGTCAGGGTCGGCGCGGGTCTCCCGTCCGGTGGGTGGCGGGTGGCGCTAGGCGGCAGACTCGCCGCCGCCGGCCGACACTGCTGCACCGCCATCCTCCGTGCGCTGGTCGTTGTTGGCAGAGGCGACCCAACGCGGCGTGACCGGTGACTTCTGTCCGAGCCGACTTCTGGTTTTTTGTGTGCTTCATTCATGGAATGGGCTCACTCTCAAATGTGGTCCCATTGGGGCCCACGACCCGTTTGGAACTTGGAAGGAACTCGCTCGTGCAGGCCTGATCTTACTCTCACCAGTGCTAGGAAGAGCGTGCGGTGATTCTTGGTGCCAGCTGAGCGCAAGTTGATCGGAACCGGCATCTAGGCTACCCCATAGGGTCTCGGCTACCCCAGATGCGGGCTCCTGCGCTGCTGCGGGCTCACACTCGGCTGTTAAGCCCCGCCCAGGTGTGAGACTCCGTCCCAGGTATGGTGCCCGCCTCAAGCGGTGTCCCTTCCCGGGTTTGGTGTCCCTCCCCATGCGTGGGGTTCCGCCCCAGCTGTGGAGTACCGTCCCGGGCGTGAGGTCGATGCCCTGCCCTCGGCACCACTTGACTGGCTCTTCGTCGTCCAACACAGGGTCGGCCCGGCCCTCAGCAGGTGCCGGGGGCGTCGGCGGGTACCCTGCTGGTGCGTGCAGCGAGGCGACGCCCTCCACCGTCGGCCGTGGGTTTTGTCCAAGCGAAATCTGGAGGTGTCGACGAGGCTGTGTGATGATGATCCCGCCCCGCCCTGTCGTCAGCTTTTGACCACACTCTTCAGTCGGACAGGAGTGGTGGGATCACACGGGAGTTCAAACGGTGACAGGACCTGCCATTAACTGTGCCTTACTCGGTGCGCGCCTGCATCGCTGTCAACAATGAAGCCGCATTTCTTTCGGATGCTCATGTTCAATGGCCACTTAGCCAGTGTTGGTTGCCATATCTTTTCCTGGAATAGCCCTTACGTGAGCGGCGATTGGGGACGAACATCGTGGGCGCATGAACTAAAGCACGTAATCTCCGTGCGAATTGCCAAACTGCGTCACCAGTGCGGTATGTTCGTTGCGCGTCGATTTAGTCACTGAATCACAGGTGCGGTGGAGATTGAACGTCCAAGAATAGCCCTGACGCCTATAAGATGCATGAGTTTAGGATTGTGCCGGAGTGGTGCTCGAGCTTCAGGGTGCCCTATTACTCTTGCTCACGTTATTGGTTTCAGCGAAAGCAATCGTTCGCTCTTTTGTGAAAAACAACTTTGTCATAAAGTGCTGCGGTTTGGAGGCCATCCGCTCAATTATGCACTTTCCGATCGCTTGCTGCCATTTCTGAGTCTGTAGTCCCATGTGTTTTCGCCGTAGACTGAGGATCTTGAAGGAACAGAAAGCCACTAACGGATTGGAGTGTTTTCGTGGTTGCGCCATGTAGGAACCGCACACGGTTGTAGCTAATCGCAAGAGCGCGACTGCGGTGTCTATGTAATCGCGTGTTTGTTGGCCTGTGTCGTCCAAGGATCTCTGGCAAGGACGGAGAAGGCTTCGTTTGGAACCTTGCCTGCCTGATGCGAACCCTGCCAAGGATGTGATGTAGCACGCCCCAGGAACTGTGGTGACACCTCTGGGCATCGATGCAGAACCTCTGGATTGGTGTTACCTGCCCCCGGGATTGGTGTGGCACGTCTCCGGTGTTGATGTAACACGTCTCTGGGATTGGTGTAGCACCTCTCCGGGAGCTGGTGCACGCTGCTGTTGTTTCTGGGGGCCGCTGCCGCACCACGCCCGGGGATCGGTACAGCAACGCTCCGGGGGCAGGTTCGCCGCTGCTGGGGGCCAGCACGCTGTCCCGTGGCACCGCGTGTCACCTGGCTGTAGGCGATTCGCATGCAAACTAACCTCGGGCCTGTAAGCCCCTCGTGTGTTTGAGTACCCCACGCCGACACGCTGGCTATCGTCGCCGTTCCTTGTGGAGTGCTGCCTGATTTGTAAACACTGCTGCGAATTATGTAATATATGCTCAATGCAACCTGTGAAATGTGTCACGCGATTGTTCTGCCGTCGGTCTGCAGGTGCAGCACTGGGATCGTTGCACTGACTTACGCATGCAGGGTTACGTGAAATTCGTAGGGGCTGAGAACCAGGGATCTCCAGTAAACATATTGCTGTCGGCAGTGAGGAACTTTTGATCAGGTGGGTAAACTACCGAGGGATCGACTCGAGACAATTATTAAGCGAAATTGGCAAGGCCCATCCCCAAGCAATTCATGACTCGACTCGGGACTTTCTATTCTTGCTTCGATGACGACTCCCTGCTCGCGACTAACCCTGACGCCGTTCTCCGCGCTTCCCAGCTCGTCCGGGAATGACGGCCTGAGCGACGGGCACACACGGCTGATATGACGGCCCGAGCGACGGGCACACACGGCTGATATGACGGCCTGAGCGACGGGCACACACGGCTGATATGACGGCCTGAGCGACGGGCACACACGGCTGATATGACGGCCTGAGCGACGGGCACACACGGCTGATATGACGGCCTGAGCGACGGGCACACGGCTGATATGACGGCCTGAGCGACGGGCACACATGGCTGATATGACGGCCTGAGCGACGGGCACACACGGCTGATATGACGGCCTGAGCGACGGGCACACACGGCTGATATGACGGCCTGAGCACCGGGCACACGCGGCTGATATGACGGCCTGAGCGCCGGGCACACGCGGCTCATATTTCAGTGTCGACATCACTTGCCGCCGCCTCGCCGCAGCTACAACACGCGGCGCCGTGGCGTCGGCCGGTTTTTCGGCGTCGGTAGCCGGTGACCGCGTGCCTCTGACAGACGGCAGCGATCACCGCCGGCGGCCAGGACAGCCGAGGACCGGCCGGCCGCCGCAGGCAGGGGACCGTCCCTGCCCACGCGCCATCTGTACCCATTAGCCTGTTTGCGATCGCGGCTGTGCGTCGCTGGCGGTGGGCCAATGTGGTGGACAGTGTCAGATGTGGACAGTCGCCGTTGAGGACGGTCGCCACTGTTGGCGGATGCAGCCGCGGACAGTCGCCGCCGTGGACAGTCGCCGCTGATATGACGGGCAGCCACTGCTGTATACAGTTGCGGTTGTGGACAACCACCGTTGCAGACAGTTGCCGCTGTGGACAACCTCCACTGTGGGCAGCCTCCTCCAGCGGCGTAGCCAGAATTTCTCCCAGGAGGGGGCCATATATGTTTTTATTCGCGGGGACGTTTTTGGGCCGTCTCTATTTTTATGATTTGGAGCCCCGTTTTTATGAAATGCCTTAGTAACATTACGGGCTTCTTAAACTGGCAAGACGTGCTGAGACCATCTAGGGGCCCCTGGCACCTCGGCGGCGACGGGGGCATGGCACCAAAAACTCCCCTTGGGTGCACCACCGGCCACCCTTGTGGACCTCCGCTTCTGTGAGCCTCCGTCGCTGTGGGCAGCCGGCGAGGCAGGGCAGCGGACCGCCTTCATCGCTATGCGCCGCGGCGTCTGTTTAGCCGACCCAGCGCTATTTTGTCTGCGTCTCTATTGCCGGGGCCGAGATTCCCGCGCACGTCGGCGCTAATTCGATAGATGGTCGAGTTTTCGCCGCCGTCGAGTCGGCATGACAATGGCGTCGAATCTCGTTAGCAGGGGCAGAAGCAGGCCACTGTCCACTGGCTCCGCGAAGAATCGGCTCCGCAGCCGGGCTGGCCTGGCCTGGCCGCCGAGCGGAACCCAAACGCACTTGCTCTGCACTGCGGACAGTGACAGCGTCCCCGTATAAAGCCATAGACATACGTATTTAGACAAAGAGATCGCGCCGGTAGCAAACGGTCGATACGAGATGTCGTCAGATACCAAGGCACACGCACTTTTTGGCTGGCGTTGGGCCCCCTGCAGTGGCAGGAACCCCACGTACCGCGTGCTGCCGACCGGCGGTCGTGCCCGTCGCCCGGTGGGACAGACAGCGGCCGCCGGCCATATGGATCCAGCTGATGGCGTGCCAGCGTGCGCCGGCCGGCACGAACATATTAGCCGCCCATTTGGCCGTCGGGCGCCATTGTCGGCTCGGCCCATACATTTTCATATGCAGGCGATCCGCGGGCTGGCGTCAAAGGCTGCCCGCGTCCTCCGGCCGGCCGGTTTACGCTTCATTACGGACGGGCGGTCCGCCGAGTGACGAGTGGTGTCGGCCGGTGCAGCCACCGGCGCTCCTGGCCGGGAGATAGCCGCGGCGACGGTCCCGGCGCGGGCGGCGTCAGTGGCGCGCCGTCCGCGGCCACCCAGGCGTGGCGCGCGACCTCCGGCGCGGTGCGCCTGGCCTGGCAGCGATGCTGAAGGGCCTGTGCGGCTGCCCCACGGCAAGGATAGCCGAGAGGGCGGCCGGTGCCAAGTCGCAAGAGGGACGGGACCGACGCCGAAGTCAACTAAATTGAGGCCGAGTCGTAGTGGCATCGACTACTTTGACACGCCACGGGGTCGGTTTCGGGGGTAGTTCACTCACGTTTGGAGTGATTATGGACTAGTTGCCTCCAAAGCGTGCGATTTTACAACTTAGGAGTGATAACGGCCACGTCCACATAGTGGTAGCGACTGGAACGATCGTGTGGCGTCGGAGTAAAGGAACTACCGTGTCATGACGGCTTGTCGAATAAATTCTAAGGACGGGCTTCATAAGGCACGCTAGCCGGGGACCACTAACCTAAAGCAGGTCACACGCTTAGGATACGCAAAGCACACTATCCCAGCAACTGCAGCATTGGTTTATCATGAACCTTCGTCTTACTTGTCGCCACCCTCGTTGACGGCATTGGAATCGATCGTTTGTCTCAGCCCCGTTTTTCATCGCGATTGAACAGAGTGCTTCCGGTCGCAATCGACTCAACATCGTACGACGCTGCGCAGTGTCGAGTTCAATTAACTCAAGCGTAGTAAAGTGGCGTTTACTCTGGAACAGCATCAAGGAACCCCTGCTATTCTGACGTTACATTGGTAAGGATGGCCGTTTTTCCGGATGGTAAAACACCGTTTTTTCATTCCAAATGTGATGCAAAAGGCTGTAAAACGTGATCTGAATTTATCTATTTTTGTTCTTTGCGGTTGGTTCTTTGAGAGCGCTCCCTATTGCTGAAAGATGGCCTATCGGAGTCTAGCTCGTTTCAATCGTTCTCCGGCTGGGTGTATGTCGTCCGTTCGTTTGCTCGTTAAATCCTCAGATACGGGTAAATGGCGCTGGTTCCGAAACCTATGATCCACTCGACAGCACACTTATCTGTACAGCCTCCTTCCTATGTCATGAAGCCTGACTGAGCCGTGTTCCTCGCACCAAACTGCTTCAGAGGTGCTTTGAAGGCCTGAGCGTGCCCGCGGCTGTTTCCGGCCCAGTCATCTCGGGTCACAGCTCCGACTGCCGCCTCCGGCTCCCCACACAGCGGGGCGGTGCCGCTCCGTCGCCGAGTGTTTGATCTGCCGGCTTGCAGCAGAAGGAAGCCGGCATAATGAGACAGTGGTGTATGCCGGATGCGCTGAAAGGCCGCTCCGGCCGGCCCGGTCGTGTAATGGAGCCGCCACACTTGGCCGGGGTGGGGCTGACCCGCCCCTTCCCAGTCAGCTGCCATTAGGCGTCACCGCCGGTGGACGGTGGGCGAGGTCCGGACAGCCCGCGGCGAACGGTGGGCGAGGTCCGGACAGCCGCCGGCGGACGGCGGGCGAGGTCCGAACAGCTGTCGGCGGACGGTGGACGAGGTCCGGACAGCCGCCGGCGGACGGTGGACGAGGTCCGGACAGCCGCTGGCGGACGGTGGACGAGGTCCGGACAGCCGGCGGCGGACGGTGGGCGAGGTCCGGACAGCCGGCGGCGGACGGTGGGCGAGGTCCGGACAACCGCCGGCGGACGGCGGGCGAGGTTCGGACAGCTGTCGGCAGACGGTGGGCGAGGTCCGAACAGCTGTCGGCAGACGGTGGACGAGGTCCGGACAGGCGCCGGCGGACGGTGGACGAGGTCCGGACAGCCGCTGGCGGACGGTGGACGAGGTCCGGACAGCCGCCGGCGGACTGTGGATGAGGTCCGGAGAGCCGACGGTGGACGGTGTACGAGGTCCGGACAGCCGGCGGCGAACGGTGGACGAGGTCCAGGCAGCCGACGGCGGACGGCGCTCGCACGCACCACGTGACGCAGTGGCGCGTCGCGGGCATCACAGGGCATCTCTCAGTCTGTCGTGCGCTGGTGGATCCAGCTGCCTCAGCCCCGATCCAAGCTGTCGTGTAGTACCGTGGTGCATGGGCCATGGATCATATCGTGACCATGGACTAAATACGCCTTAAATGTGCCGATGATCTCTCCGTTTTCGTGCCATTTGATATGGTCGCTTTAACTGTGGTGATTGGTAAGGTCCAATCGATGAAATCCTAACACTGGTGCGCATGTTTATGGTTATGCCGTTGCATGGTGCATATCTCTGGACTGAAAGCTCAATAAATAAATACTGGTAATTATGAAATGCAATAACACGCGTTTTACTTTCATGCACGTCGATAGGTAAGTATAGTTTCTTTCCTGATGATTCACTTGACCAACACGCAAAAGTGCTCACGTCTTGCCGCAACCAATTCGCTCCAACAATATGCACGCAATGGCACCCGAAAGAAGCTCCCCAGAAAGTATGATATAATCAGCTATAGCTTATTCAGTTGAGTCCGGTGGGGGGTAACTCTTCGGCACTTGAGATGTGCATTTGGCACCGGCCGTCGTCTGCATTGAGGCCCGGCTGATGAAGCTCCTCATAAGTCCGTAGTGGCATATTTGTCCACAGAAACCGCCGAAGTCTGAACAAGAGGCATCTCTGGCCAATACAAGTAGAACGCAACTTAGCTTATTCGCTGGCGTAATTTCCACCCTATTCCTCGTTACACACGAAAGTTTTCGAGTTCAGGACTTCGGCGTGTGTTGATGTGTGTGTCCTGTTTGTGTGTTGCGGAATGTTATTTGTACGACGTTGTGACCTTTCCCCTGC